CTCAGGCTTCATTTGTCCTATTGCTAATAGTATAGGACCTCTGAATCAGATCAAACCAGAAAATCTTAACATTGACAGATATGTACACCTTACAATCATTCCATACACCAAATATAGTGGTCCTATTGCCAACAGTACCGGAGAAACAGATCAGACCATAAAATCTGAACATATGAACCCTGCCAGACATACATGTGCACCTTACAATAATTCCATACTCCAAATATAGTTGACCTATTGCTAATAGAATCTGATATACTGCATGACAAAAGTTACGAACACTTATCATTGTCCAATGAACCATGACAATGAGGTCAAGGTCAGATGAAACCTGCCAGTCAGACATGTACACCTTACAATCATTTCATACACCAAATAAAGTGGCCCTATTGCTTATAGCATCTGAGAAATAGACCAACCACAAAAACTAAGCTTTGTTCAATGAACCATGAAATTGAGGCCAAGGTCAGATAAAACCTGCCAGTTGGACATGTACCCCTTATAATCATTCCATACACCAAATATAGTTGACCTTATGCTTATAGTATTTGAGATCCAGACTTGACCATGTTACTTTAACCTTTATCACTGATCATTGAAATGAGGTCAAGATCAGGTGAGTCCTACCTGACCGACACGTAGGCATTGCAAGGAACCCATATACCAAATATAGTTTTAAAATATCCTATTACTCATCATGCTCATAATAAGTGAGTATTTCACTTGACAAAAAACATTTTTTTTTTCATGCAGTCATGAAAATGAGGTCAAGGACAATGGATATATGACAGACTGTGACTTCCTAACACAAGGTATCTGTATACCTACAAGGTATGAAGCATCCAGGTCTTCTACCTTCTGAAATATAAAGCTTTATACAAATGGTTTATGCCTTCGCCACCAGATTGTTATCCCTATGGATCGCATTCTGTGACTTACGTCTCAGGCAAGACAAAAAAACTTTTAGTTAGTAGGCTTATAACTCTAATCGTGCACTGTCTATTAACAAATTTTAACAGACACAACACACATTGGTTGTCACATGTGGAGCAGGAAATATTAACACGTTCAGAGTAATGAGTTACTGCGGATTCATTTATTTTTCGTCGGTACCTATTTTTATGGTTTTACCAACATCTCTATACATGCCAATAGAAAATTTGTACTTTGTTGAACATTTAAATTTATTGTTACCCACAAAATCCATAATAATAGGTATCCCACCAATATCCACAGTATTTTACACCTTACTTTTGGAAGGGTTTGTGCTGCTCAACCTCTAGTTTTCTGTGTAGTGTATTGTTGACTTTTTAGTCTGCCTGTCTGTCTTATTGGTAAGTTGCTCTATTTTTCTTTGATTAATCATTTTTGATCATTTCCTTTTATATTTTCTCTCCTTTTTGATTGTCTCACAGCAGTAACTTTGTTGACTGCTTTACCCCAATTTTTGACATTTTTACTTGTTATGTTTGTTTGTTTTGCTCACACATTGTTGTCAATACATGTATAATGGAATTTGATGCGCCTGTCATAAAAGTGAGAGGTTTAGCTAGCTATAAAACCAGGTATAATCCATCATTTTCTACATAAGGAAATGCCTGTACCAAGTCAGGAATATGACAGTTGTTTTTCATTCGTTTGATTTGTTTGAGGTATAAAACCACTAATTCATAGCCCCATTGCTTTCTATATTAAATTCTGCAATTTCAAGCATAAATGGCTACTTTGTCTTAAGTTCAAATTAAGTGGCAGTTATTTCATGTCAAAACTGTACCTTATGCTAACTTGTGCTCAACATACCTTTAATTGCATATTAGAGCGTACTGGTTCCCGGAAGTTTGATAGTACAGAAACAGGAACTTCTGTTCTGAACAACAGGCCAAATGAGCCCTCCTATCAAAATTTCATATACTTCTTTATTATTCAAATAAAACTTTCAACTAGGGTTCTACAGTGATCCCAAGTCCCAAAGCTTTCATTTGATACTAAAACTACCCAAATATTCCCACTATTGACAAAGATACAGCTATGCGTAGGAACTATTTTGTTTAAAATATGTACTACTTTCTTGTATGTTCTTTCCGACCGGGCCTGAATTAGTGGTTCTATACCTTGAGCTTTTGAAATTGCCATTTGTTAAGGGACTTTCCATTTTGAATTTTCCTGGAGTTTTTGTTATTTTACTTTTTGTTTAGAATTCAATGTCTATGGCACAGATAAATAAAAGAAGAATGTGTCTGAGGACACAAATGCCCCCTCTCAAGCAACAATAAAATGCTTCGCTGGGGCGCAGCTTGATACGACCGCAGAGGTCGAACCCTGAACAGTTGGGGCAAGTATGGACACAACATTCAAGCTTGATACAGCTCTGAATTTGGATTGTTATTAAATATTTGACACAGCATAGGTTTCTGACACAGAAAGAATGTGGTCTAAGAACTTGAATTTTTTTAATTTACCTATTATGGTCCAATGTCCAAAATAAAAATACATGGTTAGATTCAGCATATCAAAGAACCCCATATATTCAATTTTTGTTAAAATCAAACAAAGTTTAATTTTGGACCCCAACTTGGACAAACTTGAAAACTGGGCCCATAATCAAAAATCTAAACACATGTTTAGATTCAGCATATCAAAGAACCCCAAGAATTCAATTTTTGCTAAAATCAAACTCAGTTTAATTTTGGACCCTTTGGACCTTAATGTAGACCAATTTAAAAAACGGGACTTAAAATTAAAAATCTAAATACACGGTTAGATTTGGAATATCAAAGAACCCCAATAATTCAATTTTTGTTAAAATCAAACTAAGTTTAATTTTAGACCCTTTGGACCTCAATGAAGACTAATTTAAAAAACGGGACCCAAATTAAAAATCTAAAAACACGGTTAGATTTGGCATATCAAAGAACCCCAATAATTCAATTTTTGATGAAGTCAAACAAAGTTTAATTTTAGACCCTTTTGACCTCAATATGAACCAATTTGATAGAGGGGCCCACAAATAAAAAATCTAAATACATGGTTAGATTCAGCATATCAAAGAACCTCATATATTCAATTTTTGTTGAAACCAAACAAAGTTTAATTTTGGACCCCAATTTGGACCAACTTGAAAACTGGGCCCATAATCAAAAATCTAAATACATGTTTAGATTCAGCATATCAAAGAACCTCATATATTCAATTTTTGTTGAAATCAAACAAAGTTTAAATACTGGACCCTATCTTGGACCAACTTGAAAACTGGGCCCATAATCAAAAATCTAAACACATGTTTAGATTCAGCATATCAAAGAACCCCAAGAATTCAATTTTTGTTAAAATCAAACTAAGTTTAATTTTGGACCCTTTGGACCTTAATGTAGACCAATTTAAAAAACAGGACCCAAAATTAAAAATCTAAATACACGGTTAGATTTGGAATATCAAAGAACCCCAATAATTCAATTTTAGATGAAATCAAACAAAGTTTAATTTTGGACCCTTTTGACCTCAATATGAACCAATTTGATAACGGGGTCCACAAATAAAAAATCTAAATACATGGTTAGATTCAGCATATCAAAGAACCCCATATATTCAATTTTTGTTGAAATCAAACAAAGTTTAATTTTGGACCCCAATTTGGACCAACTTGAAAACTGGGCCAAAAATCAAAAATCTAAATACATGTTTAGATTCAGCATATCAAAGAGCCTCATATATTCAATTTTTGCTAAAATCAAACAAAGTTTAATTTTGGACCCTTTGGACCTTAATGTAGACCAATTTGAAAACTGGGCCCAAAATTAAAAATCTAAATACACTGTTAGATTCGGCATAACAAATAAATAAATGTGATCAAAGATTTTACAAATCTAATGCGCCATACTGTGCAATTAAAGATTACTTCTTGAAATTTTTCAATATTTGAAATTTGAAAAAAAAATAATATTTGAAGAATAATTCTTTTTAATTTCTGAAATCTGAAATGAGAAAAAATTGACCCCCCCACAATTTCTTTTTATCCCCCCCCCCCTTTTTTCCCCCAAAAAATTCTTTCCCTCAAGATATGGTCATAATCTCAATTCAAATTTCCAATGGAGTTGGCAACCATAATTACCCATTTAAATTTACCATAGTGCTAACATAATCTATTTTATAATAGAATTAAAAATATAGTGTCAAATCTTTCATATGGATTTTTTTTTTTTTAAAAAAGATGCAACATTTGCAGATATTTTTACTGGTCTTTCTTTATAAATATGCATTTCTTTAAACATAATTTAAAAGCAGTGTAAGGGAAGTAACCAAAACATTGTATTTGGATTACCTCCCTTACACTGTTTTAAATTATCTTTATTGTTCATTAACCATTACTTTATACATAATTTAAAAGCAGTGTAAGGGAGATAATTTCAATGATGTATTTGATTTATCTCCCTTACACTGCTTTAAATTATGTTTTGTACTAAAGTATTTGTCCATTAACCAGGACAACCTTGTTTTTCCCCTTTTTTGCCCCTAATTCCTAAACGGTTTGAGCCATAACCCCCCAAAGCAAATCCTAACCATCCCTTTGTGGTATGGAAACTTGTAGTATAATTTCAGAGAGATCCATACACCGTTCCACAGTTATTGTCTGGAAACTAGAAAATGCTTATTTTTGGCCCCTTTTTGGCCCCTTATTCCTTAACTGTTGGTACCATAACCCCCAAAATCAATCCCCACCTTCCTTTTGTGGTATTTAACCTTATGGTCAAATTTCAAAAAGATCCATTCACTTTAACTAAAGTAAGAGTGCGAAAACCAATGTGTCTTCGGACGACGACGCCGGACGACGCCAACGTCATACCAATATACGACCACAAAATTTTTTTGCGGTCGTATAAAAATGGGACGGACGGAAAGACGGAAGGACAGAGGATGGAAAGCCGGAGACGGAAGGACAAATGGTCAAGGGTAACACTTAATGTCCCCATTGCCTACGGTGGGGGATTAAAAATAAACACACCTAAGTTTTGATACTTATATTAGAAGCCACAATAGGCCAGCATCCAGTCACTGAACACAACTACAAAATGGCAGTAAATTTGTTTACACAATATACACAACTTGTTTACACATAATATACACATCTTGTTAACATGATTCTTGACACACAACAAGTTTTTAACCTGTACATATGATAATGATGGCTGTAGTAGGGTAAATGAAGTTTTTGTGTGTAGTAAATTTTTACGTAAATAATCTTTCGCGATAAAATACAGGCATTTTCAGAAAGTGCAGAGTCGGCAAAAGTAACATTTTCCAGTAATATAATTGTAAGTACCAGTATTCATATTTACTCTCCGCAAAACAAATCTATTTTGTGTCATTTATAGAACTTTATTGGAAGGTCCACTTATTACCAAGAGAGTGTCTATTTCAATAAATTTAAGAATGATTAATTACCTTTTTTTATTAATTTAAGATTCAAGATGAAATAACATTAGGAATACTGTCTTACTTATCTAATTTTTTTTTAAATGTTGAAGTTAAAAATCTAGTAACACATATATATAAAATCTTTGAAACAACTAATTAATAAAAATGAAATGCCAATTTTTGCACATAAAAATTAATTTTACAACCTTTAAATAAATTAAAACTGTTTAGTGCATGAACTCAAACCCCAAACAGATCATGTTTTATCAATACTGACATATGACAACCTTCTCTTTCAACAGAACAAATTTGGGAACAAAATTATAAACATTATGAAATCAATAAATTAGTACTCAAATTTTATAGATTTACTTCTACTTCACTCTTTTGAAGAAAGGGGATATCTATCCAGTCCCATCTACAATTTATGCTGATTAAAGGGGTAACTTGTTCAAGAAAGTAAAACTATGACTCCTTGTGATTTTATATCAAAACCAAAATTGAAATATGATCTGTGTTTGGATTGTATCTTATAAAAGTAAAAATATTTTGGAGAGGCAGAAAAGGATAGAAAAAAGTGAATATATATCCAGTCCATTTACAATTTATGCTGATTAAAGAGATGACTTGTTTAACAGAGTAAAACTATGACTCCTAGTGATTTAATATATTTCAAAACCAAAATTGGAATATGATCTTTGTTTGGATTGTATCTTATAAAATATAAAGATATTTTGGAGAGGCAGTAAAGAATGGAAAATTCTACACAATTACTACTAATACCTCTTACAACAGAACACTGCAGTTTTCCTACAGGAATGTTTGAACAAAAATGGCCCTATTTGTATTCATTTGCATATTTTTTGCCACAAGCGACGTTTTAACCCTTCAAAATAATTAATCAATCATAATCATTGAAGAAATTTGAAGAAAAAAGATCAATACAAAGAGTTACAATGATTTGTAGACCTTAAAAAAAAGTGTACTTTCTTTTGAGCCTTAATGATTTTTTTTATTTGGGTTGCTGTCTGATCTCAGTCCAGATTTATGGGGAATTAATACAGAAATAATGCCTCTTATATCAAATATACAATTTTTCATTCATATATCTATAGAAAATTTCACTATAAAAAGCAGACAAATGCAGCAGATGTTTCATTCAGAACAGTTATGATGCTTGTTAGAGTTATCTCTCTTTAACTGTGTTTTCAAATTTACACAGGCAAACAAATGTGCTCAAAATTACATGGACATTTTTGCAATATAAATGTTAAATGCAAAGGTAACAAAAGGTATATGCATGTATAAAAAGCTGACAATTAACATCAAATTTGTTACATTATATAACAGCAAAAACTTCTATAAATTTGTACAGTTAATTATCTACCAAATATTTGTACATTTACAGTTTATTTCATAGAGGTAGTTAAACAACTAACTATACATATATTTACAAACAGCTAAATGCACCAACAAATTGATATTTTTACTACAAACTTGTAAACTTTTAATTTCATTTCACAAAAAGAAAGAAAAAGATGTAGGTTTGTATTGAGTATACATTTTTAAAGTGATTTTATATTTTAGTGAACTCCTCTTGTGTCTATTGAAAGATGAAGTAATTTTGAACAAAAAAGGGAAGAACTGAACAGTTCTTATTTGTGGAAAAAGGAAAAATCAATCTGTAAGTTAAAAGGTAAATTTAGAATTATGTTAAATAAAAATTTTAAAAAAAATGTATCTGGAAATTTTAGAATAAAATAAGGACTGAAATAAGGGATCATCTTTGCTGATTTTAATTTTACAATGCATCCAAAATTTTCACGAATGTGTACAACCATAGAACAATTGGATATATTTTTCTTTGTCAGACACTAAATTTTTTCAAAGTTAAAAGGTGTGTGTTCCCCAAGCGTGATTTAATCAGTGACTGATATGTACCCTTTTATAACACAGAAAATTATTCACTACAGTTCAAATACTTCACATGATCATCAGTTTATACAAAACATATCTTACAAAAGCATATGAGAATTTTTTGAAGATAAAGCACAGCTGTTATATTAATATTTGATATCAGATACTCAAGTAGAAAAATAACTCTTACTCATGCACGTATATGTTGTGTACAAGTAATTTTGTACAGACTTTATTGTACAAAGTTATCAGTATTTTGACACCTGCCTTCTTTCACCAGGTGAGTAAGTTTATCTTGAATAGTTAACCAGGGGAGCTTGATATTTTACACACAAATCTGTATATTTCAACATAACAGTATTAATCAGTGTCTTTGGAATAAAACTGCAAATAAGACCACCAGATTGGTTTTAGATTCTACATGTATATTCTTGGCTTATACCAGACTTCAATTCCCCAAAATATATCATTATGCCCTTATAAAAACTTCGTATAATTTTCGTAGCATTGCAAATTTGACAGCAACAAGCTAAATGAAAGATCGTCTGCTTGTTTTATCAAATTATGTTAAGGTTTGCAAAATACTGATAACTTGTACAAAAAGTCTGTACACTTTATGATTTGTACAATATGACAAAATTAGTACACAGCATATACAAAATACATTCTTACTAACAAGCTACAACAACTTTAACTATTGTTCTGTTTGTATACAGAACTATTTCTACAGCACTTAAAATTAGTTGAGATCCTTAAACAAGTTCATTCATTATAGCAAACACTATTCTATCATAAATAAATTTCCTTGCAATTTTTGTCAGATGGCTGAATTACAAATTTAATAATTTTTTTTTATTAAAATTGAATGTACGGAAAATTTGACAAAATCGAAATTAAACAAAAGAAATTTGAAATAGCTGTCTTTTCTTATTAGATTTTCTTTAAAGTCATTAATATCTACCTTTTTGAAGTTCTTGGGAACAACTGTTATCAAATTATCTTAACGTGTAGGAACTGATTTGTATTTTGAAGCGGGGGAAATGCAAGAAAATTGTGAATCAGCATAAATCCTGATATTAGATTTAGGACAGCACCAAGACAAGAATGAAGATGTTAATAGCTCAAGAAAAGTCCTATCATAATCTTATACTACTGTAAATTCAGAAATTACTGCAATGTTTTTATTAATGCGACTGGGTGAGCATCGCAATAATAAGAACTCGCATTCTGATATCTGATCAATATATCTTAATGCACATTTTTCTTAAATCGCTATAATTAATCTCACATTTTTGTCCATTTTTCAAAAATCGCAATAATAAATGCATGCAATAATTTCTAAATTTTCAGTACATTGTACTAACATATTCAGAAATTGCCCACACTTTTTTACACATTTTGAAGGGCATAGTTCCAATACTTTTGTAATCTATTTGCCATCTTTAACTTTCAATAGTATTTTTAAACTTAAAGTAGTTTTCAATAAATTATATCTGACCAGCCAAATGTCACTGTACATAATTTTAAAAATCTATCTTTCAGAATGACCTGTATTAAATGTGTTTTAAACAATGATAAATGAAGATCTATCGACAACCTATAGATGAATTACATTAAACATTTCCATAAATTATATTTGACCAGTCAGATGTCATTGTGTATCATGAAAAAAATCTTATCGTTTAAAATGACCTGCAATAAATGTATTTCAATGGTAAACGAAGACCTTTGGACAACGTATATATGATAAAATAAAATATTCAATAAATGAGCTGCATCCGATAGAAATCGACCTTATGCAAGTGCACGTAAACATATACATGTATAAGACTTTGATTGATTTTGGAATATTCAAAAACGAAATAAAAGCTGAATTTTGGTCTGTTTTGTAGGGTTCTTATACCAACTTAATTTCCAAACAGGTACAGATTAAGCAGATTTTTTCAACCCAAAATAAGCTTACAGATGTATTGATATTCATTTTCATAGGGTTGATTTCTATCCAAATCAGCTCAAATCATATTTGACCAGTCAGATGTCATTGTAAAAAAATCATTCAAAACGACCTTGTATTAAATGTGTTACAACAGTGATAAATGAAGATCTATAGACAACCTACCAGACATTTAACGTGATATATATATCATGAGCAATATTTTACACTGTAGTCACTTTACAACTTTTACTTTTTTTCTCATCCCCTGAACTCCCGTCAGATTTCACACTGTTCAAAAACGAAGCTCGTCTACGAGCCATTAACATTTCAGTTTTTGTTGCATGCTGGGTAGACGGTGGTGCTGCAGCTTTCTTTGCTGGCACTGCTGGCTTTAAGAACACATCGTCATCGTCTATCCTACTTTTGTTCAAGTCCACTTTGCTCTCAGTGTCTGATTTGACAACAGTAGCAGAAGGCTTGTAATTAAAAGGTGGAACCAGTGCCGATTGTGGACTTGTCTTTACATTATCTAAGGAACATACACTACTGTTTCTTTTCTTACTATCCTTTTCCTTCTTTCCTTTCTTTTTATTCATTTTTTCAATTTCCCTGACTTCACATACCGACACAGAATGAACTGAATGAACCGAGTGAATAGAATGAATACTCTCACGTGATGAATATAACGATGATTTTGATCCCGATTTTTTAGATTCCGAACTTTTCCTACTGAATATATTTTTCAATCCTTTCGGAAGAAAACTTTTGCTACCTTCCTTTTTCTCTTTTGATTTCTTTTTTGGACTTAATGAATGTTTGTTCAGCTCCGGTTCTGAACGAGAAGTATTGCCATCTCGTCTCACCCAAATTGAGTCTTCGTCGTCACTGGCGACACTAGCAAATGATTCCTCTGTATTTCTCCTCCACGAACTCATAGTTGAACTTGCTTGACTAGAAACACTTTCATTCATAACACTACCAGCTATGCTCCCATTTGCTATTGAAGACTCCAGTAGTAGTTTCACAGCTTCCAGTGATTTGCTTGTTTCGTCTGCATCTGGGACTTGAACACTACTCTTATCCAAGTCAGACTTCTTTTTCTTCCATGTTCCAGAATCGATTCGTTTCTCCAAGGACTTTAAATCAAAGTCTCCCACAGATTTATTTTTCTCTGGTGAAATATCTTTACTACTTGAAGAACTAGTTTTTGAATAACTTGTAGATTCTTTCTCCGGGGAAATACTACTTTGTGAACTTTTTCCTCCTACACTTTTACGATTTTCAGAGTTATTTCCCTTAGATCTAGATTTCAGTCCATCATCATCCTTATCTTGAAGTGATAATCCTGACAATTTCATTACCTCGTTATCAACTTCTTCATCAGACTCGTTATCTGGGCATGGCAACTGACTACAACGATTAACGGTAACTAACTTATCATAAGTTGAACTACGACTTATTTCATCCTTTTGATTTTCAGATGCTTCATCGATTGAAATGTTTTTGGCACTTAATGTATCAGTTTTAGGTGGCTGGAGTTTACTCCCTGAATTTGCTCTCGGTAATCTTGATGGAGATACTGTCGAAACTGGAAGTTTTGAATTATTTGATTTTGGCGTGCCTTCATTGAAACTGTCATCCTTTTTCCATAAACCAGCGATTTTACTTCCTACTTGCTTTTTACCCACGCCGGCACTACCTCTACGATTTTCAGAAGAGAAAGAGGAAGACTTATTTAACTGACTTTCACTTTTTTTATTAGAAGGCGGGTTAGTAGCTGAATTTTTTCTAGCCACTGGTGTTGTAGGTCTCGAGTTATTTTTTAGACTTGCAATACTATCAGATTTCTTCAAGTCACTTTTACTAGACACTTTCTTCAGGTTTGGATTTGATCCAGTCTGTTTCAAATTTTGCCCAGATCTATTTAGATAATTGCCACTTCCAGATTTATTCAAGTTCACACTGCTGCCTGATTTGTTCAACATCTGTCCACTTCCAGATTTATTCAACATTTGTCCACTTCCAGATTTATTTAAGTTGGTTCCAACTTTATTCAATGAATTGCCACTTCCAGTTTTAGTGACATTTAACTGTGTGCCACTTAAAGTCTTCTTAAGATCACTATTCACAACTTTATTTTTAGTGTTTTTCACTGGAGTTTTTGTTGTCTGACTAGGTCCACTACTTTTAATAGTTTTTAATGTTTTGACAACAGTCTTATTTGTTTCTAAGTTTTCTGTTTTGTCTTCAGTAGAGTCCAAAATAAAGTTATGAGAATTTAAAGCTTTTACCCATGAATTAGGTACAGCATTTTCCTTATTTTGCTTTTTGCCACTAGAAACTGGTTGTCCATTATCTACATTGTCTACATTTTCCAATTTACGATTGTCTTCATGTGACCCAATAATCGGTGCATTTTCAAATGACGATTCCTTAGTAAATGTTCCTTGTTTTACTAAAGGTTTAGGTTTTTCAGCACTATTAGCTATGACTTTACGATTCGGAGTTGTTGCAGTTGGTAAGCGTGATGGACTATTTTTAGCATTAACTGAGAGCCTACTAACTGGTGTAGTGCCATTTGGTTTTGGAATCTTGGGTTTCATTTGTGCTTTATTTGGTGTGCTACTTGCCTGAGGATGGGACCTGGACCTAGCTGGTCCACTTGGTCTGGCAATAGCTTTTGTTATATTGGCCTGCTTTGCATTGATCGCATTCATTTCCTGTTTAGTTGGTGTAGGTTTTTGTTGATGTGGGGTCCTTGGACTATACAGTGGCTTCCTACGGCCTCTGACAGACTTATCAGATTCAACACTTTTCTGTGGTGCCATTGGTTTTTCGTTGGGTTTCACAATTCTTGGTCCACTAGAAATAGAAAAGTCTTCAGTTGGAGTGGACCCTGAAAAATCACTTATTTTTTCCGAATGTACAGACCAAGTGCCAGATTTTTCTGAAGCAGTATCCGACGTATATCCACAAGAGACTAATGACATTGTCTCATTATCAATAAACATATCTTCATCCATGCTACTACCAATCATACGTTTGTGCTGAATTTCCATCACAATACGACTGGCATCATCCAACAGACTTCTTTCATTTTCTGTTGTAAATTCCTCCTCGAAGGAGCACTCTGGATCCTCTCCACCATCTTCAGGCATGACAAATTGCATTGCGTTTTGTATATCTTCATTTGTTATTGTTACGTTAGCACTACACACATTTTCTGTCATGGTCACATCAGCACTATCCAATGCTACGTTCTCATTACTTCCACCAGAATCAAAACCAAAATTATCAAGTCCAATTATTGGGTGAGATGCAATTTCTCGAGCAATTTCATTGACCTCTTCGTAACTTGCTTGTTTTGGATGATCAATTGGTCCGTAGTCTGTTATATTATCATACTGCTGATTAAACTTTTCCAAGCTACGATTCATTCTCTTGTCATATAACTGTTCATTAGAGCGGACATTCTTACGTCGTGGTAAGCTATGGTATCCATGAATTGATTGGTTGTTATCCTGATAAGTTGGAATTGCTTCTACAGAATAATGCATTGTATGTCCACGATATTGGCCAGATTTTGCCAACTCCATGTTCGAAAATTCTTTTCTTTCTTTTATTCCTTCATTGTCTTGTGATCTTGATCGTTTCCAAGCACCTCGTTTCACATCTGCCGGTTTGGCAAAAATGAACTCAGATGGTTTGTCCTGTGCAGTCTTTTGCCACGAGGAATAGCGTGATTCATGAGTTTGATGTCGACTTCGGCCATGGTTCATATATTCAAAATCCTCTGCAGACGAACAACTTCTAGACATCCTGCTGTGAACTTCCGCCTGTGTTTCTATTGTACCGTGATATTCAGAGAAAGGAAGACCAGAATCAATGGAATGCCTGTCTTTCCTTGTATTTGATGAAATATCTTTTAGAGAGGAAGAATTTGGAACACTTCGTCTTGACGAATTTTGTGATTTGTCCATTTCACTTTTTGGTCGACTCTTGGGTAAAGCAGATGTAATACAGTCATTAAGCAAAGCCTCATCAAGTTCTGAGAATTCAGCATCATCATCATCATCATCATCAACAAAATTAGTATTCTTTATTTCCTCAGTTTCTAAACTTTTTACTGATTCTGATTTTGTAGACTTCGTTTCATCACTTGACTGACCTTCCACTTCCCGCTGAAGGTCAGGATCTGGTAAAATGGAAGACCCAGAACTTTTAGATGTTTTTGAACTTCCAAGAAGTTTAGCAAGTTTTTCTGATGTGGAATCTTTATCATCATCAATAATACCAAGTGAGCTTAGAGAATCACTGCAGGAGAAACTCTGAGGTGTATCTTCAACATTATAAATACGAACAGAATCGGCAGATTCACTATGAATAAAGACAGAATCGTCGACTGAATTTTGAAATGTCCTACTGATAGATATGGACTCCTTGAAAGTTGTTGATCCGGTTGTTACTGGATGAGAGAAATTAATAGGTATGTCTGATGAATCAATTGTTAAATCACTCAAAGAAGTAGCACTTGAAAAATTATTTGGAGTATCTTCAGTTGTGTATGTACGAATCTGATCGGTATTCATGTTCAGTACACTTGTACTAATATGACTTGAGGTTCGCTGAGGTTGGAAGGCCTTTGGATGAGATTCTGGTTGACTCTTTACTTGCTTTTCATTCAATTGACAAGATTTTGTACTTGATTTTGTTTCTGACCCTTCCGCCTTACGATCAGTATCATATTTTTGAGAATTTTTCACCTGAGCATTTTTATCTCCTAAGTCTTTCCCTTTAGGCATAGCAGACATTATAATCTCAGAAAGTAGGTCATCACTATCATCATCAAACGAACTTCCTTCTGACTCAGTATCATCGTCTTCCCCTTTTAAAGTTTTATCCGCATTTTCTTGCTCTATTTCATCCTTTTCATTTACATTCTCAGTTTCATTTTTCAGTTTAATTTCAGGTTTTGGACTCAAGCTTTCGTCCCCTACGGACAGATTTGTTGTAATTACGCTGAGGTCACTTAGAGAAGTTGCATGAGAAAAGCTAATGGGCGTATCTTCAGTGGCATAGGTGGTAACAGCATCTTCTCCTTCATGTTTATCTAGATCGGCTAACTGTTTTAACTTTTCCTTATGTTTCTCCTCTAGTTTTGCCTTATCTGTCGACTGCTCATGCTTAGGAGATGTCGGCATTGATATATTATAGGGCGTATCCTCAACAGCATAAGACTTTACCATATCATCATCGGGAATTTCAACTTCATCAACGTCTTCAAAATTGAATGGATTTGCTTTCTTCACGCTGGGCGACACAGCAGCTGATCCATTCATTGGCGTTCCTTCAGTAGCATATGATGTCACAGAATCTCCATAAGAATCATAAATGTCAACATCACCTCTCAATATATTTTGAATTTTCTGGAAGTTTTTAGGTTTGTTTGCATTTTGGATTGGTGGTGCCCCTTCATTTGCATAATGCCTTAAAGTATCACCTTGTGGATGCTGAGCAGATGGTCCAACCTTATAGAATACTTGAGAATTTGTTTGCTGTGCTTGTAAAACTCTCCCCCCTTGAGCCTGACGATTTTGCTGTTTGGCAGATGCTAGATTTTTACTATATGGAACATTTTCATCAGCATACTTCTTCAAACTATCCTGATTTTCACTTCCTAACTGATAATTATTTTGATTTTTAGGTTTTGGTTGTGGCTGCGGTGGTACCTTTTTGACATTTGCCTGAGGTGGTAAACCTTCATTTGCAAACAGCTTGACGTCATCATCGGCAGCACCATTATTGGTGAAATCTTCTGAATGTGACATTCTCATAGCAGTTTTTTGCTTTTGTTTGTCAGATTTATTTGGTGATTCAGATTTTGAGCCATTTTTCTTTTTTATCATGTTGTCAGAGGAACTTCTGCGCATCTTTCTAGGCATAGCAGCACTGATGCACTGTTTCAAAATATCTTCTTCCCCTTCAGAAACCTCAGAATTAGATGAATCATCTTTCTCATGGTCGTAAACAACAGTTTCATCATTTTCATCTATATTTGTCAAGGTATAAGTATTATTTTTCAAATCCAGTGGCTTTACTGGTTCAGGATCATCGACTGTCAATGAACTGAGAACACTACAAGTTTCCGAAAAATATGGCGGTGTACCTTCATCAGCATAAATTCTCGGTGGTTCATCTTTGCTTACAGTTGAGGCAGTGTCCATTGGAATACGTTTAATTGGATTCTGAGGACCTGGTGGAAGAGGTCGAACCATTTGAACATTCCTTCCTAGCAGGTTTGTGAACTGTTTCGGCAGGGAAGGGAAGTCACTCTGTTTGCTACCAGTATCTGATCCCTTTTCTTGTTCTTGCTCAGGGTTTGGACTTCCAGGCATACTTTCACTTGGTGAATCTGGCAGTTCACTTGGTGAGACAACTTCACTAGCTCTACGACTATATTCACTCACTACTGAACTATGAACTGAATGACCATCAAAACTACTTAACGATTCGGGAGAACTGCATCTGGAAAACATCAAAGGTGTGTCCTCAACATGGTGGCTATCATCAAATGTAACAGTTTTTCGTTCTTTTTCTGAACACTCTGTGTTGTCAGAATCGCTCAATAATTTCTGTCTGCCAGTAATAGGAGTATACTTTGGTGCACACATTGGTTTTTTCTGAGGTGTATCATCATGTTCATTAATACTTTGCAGATTAGAGACTCCTGTAGTGGGAGTTTTATCACCTCGATCATGGGCCTCACTGCTGTGTAAACTGCTCAATGAACTTACTCGAGAGAAACAGATTGGTGTGCCTTCTTCACAATAAGTCTTAATTTGGTCTTCGGCTGTATCATCATCATCGGGAGCATGGAATGACTGCTGAATGACATTCTCTTCGTCTCTACTGCTATCTGGACTCATTTCCTTGTCGGCACTATTACGACTATAACTGGGTATAACAGTTGAACCAGTATTATGGTCTGTGTTCAGGCTACCAGATCCACTTCGTTTCTCTGATCCAGAACCACTTTGTTTCTCGTCAACCTGAGAACTATAATCAGTGGGTTCTTCCTTCATCTGTCCATCATCAGTGTCATTATTGTCATGATCATGAACAGGTTTTGATAGATCGGTTAGTGAGTTTGCCATCGACAAATAATATCTTGGCGTCCCTTCTGTATAAAAGGTTGTGACCTGGTCTTCATTACCATGCATTTCCTCTATACGATCATTCATCCATCTTGCCTCTTCTAACTTACAATCAGCACAGTTTTTGTATGGGTCCTGTTCTCTTGGTTCATAAGGTCTTGACCTTTCTGGTTCATAACCTCTCTGCTTTTCATTGTAAGGTTCGTCATGGTTTTCAGCATAACGAACGGAGAAATCAGTTGGTTGGTCATCATGGTCAAGATCAGTTTCTGTATATGACGACGACATCTTCATCATGACCTGAGGTGGTGGGAAACTTGGTGACATCATTCGTATTTGCTGTTGGAAGCCAAAACGGTTAAAAGATGGCTGCCCCGAAAATGAATGATGCATCATCCTTGGTCCCATGTTTACATGTTGATCAGATGAAGGTCTCACGAAGGCATATCTGGGAGCAGGAGGTAACTGAGGTCGAATGGTTGGTGAAGGTGTGTTCTGAACATCGGTGTACTTCATGCTATAATCTATTGGCTGATCGTTGTCCTCATCTGACGATGACTGAGCGTTGTATATCATATTAACTGTCTGTGGCATACCATAAATAGGATTGTTGCCATAGTTACCCATGACAACCTGCTGATTACTACTAGATGGCATATTAAAGCTACGATAAAGTAAGGCATGTGGAAGTGAGAATTGTCCGTCTGCTCTCGAGGCTTGAGGATTAACAATAGCCTGTTGATTCATATTATTGTCCATTAATCTCTGAGCTTCAACTTCTTTCATTGTCTGTGCTATTCTACTATTGGCATTTTTGAGCTGAGAATTTTCTGGAAGAACATTTTGTCTCTGTCCTGTGTTACGATCTAAACTTCCACCATGACGATCCTGTAATTGTTTGATGCCATGATATCGTAATCTGTCATGAGAAATATCTGAATGAGTACTTCCAACACTGTCCTGACTTCCAGATCTAGCAACACGTTTGGGAGACAACAAGCGACTGTCAGATCTAGGTGAATTTTCCCCACTATTGCTGTGCTGATATACAGGACCTCTCGGTAAACCTCCATCAACCTCATCTATTTGGTTTACAACATTTTGATTGACAGGAAATCGGAAGTGTGATCGATCCTTATCACCTTGACTTGTATCAGTCGGGCTGTCCCGAGGACTTTCAACATTGTCACATGTTTCTGAGAGATTCTGGTCAATACTTTCTTCAAGTGCTCTTTGTTTTCTAACATGTAGCATCGGCCTGTTCATATTTTGTTTCAAGTCCATGTTCATACTTTTGATAGAAGGGAAAGCAGCTACCAAGTTTTTCAATGCTGCTGAACTTCCCATTGCAATCATTTGATGTTTAGAGTTTACTAGATTTTTCAACATGCTAACGGCACCCATATCCCACAATGCCTTCTGATCTTCAACACAACGTGCAGATAAATTCCACAATGTGCCACATGCATTGCTAACAATTGTCAAACTTGCCGATCGTAACTGTCGCAGTAATAGTGGCAAACAGTTTTGTTGTCGTAAAATTAATCGATAGTCTTCACGCACAGTAATATGACTTGAAATGTTCCTCAAAACACCACCTCCATTTTCAATGACAGCAGTAGTTTTGGACGGACTTTTATATGTTAATGTTTTGACTAGAAACTCCAAAGCACCCTCAACAGCACATATTTCTGCTTTGTTTTCACTACCATGAGCAGATAAGTTCCAAAGAGCACTAAGAATACTTTTTAATGTTGCTTCCTTTTTCACAACCATTGAAGCTCTCATCAGAGTTGTTGCTGCACCAACATGCCGTAAAGATTTCTTGCTGGCTAAATCAGCCTTCCAAGACAGATTCCGCAAGACACTTGCAGCAACTTGCACTAAATCTTCACAACTTGATTTTAATTGTTCAACAAGTCCTTCCATAAATCCATGCATTGAGCAGAGAAGAGCTTTATTTGTTCCATCACCAAATGTAAGATTTGTCAGTGCCATACAGCCATAACGTCGTAATGTGATATTGTATTGTTCTGTTGTATGACCGTGAGTCAGCTGATCAACTTCAATTAGGTCAGCTATTGCTTGAACGCCACCTGTGAAATTAAAACAAAAACTTTATTAACAAGGTTATAACAATGTTTTATTAAACAAAAAATTAAACAGTAAACTATTAGATTTTGTGGATAATCATTATCTTTTTTTGTATTAAGGTGGTACCCAACACCTTGACTAATATTAATTTGGCTCTTTTAATTTTCATAAAATTTTGACAAAATGTTTACTTTGACCCTTTGACAAAAATATAAAAATTTCAAAAAATTTGAACCAACCACTTTATCAGAAAAATTTCATTGGTTATATAGCAGTTTGACAAACACTAATTTTGATCATTGAGAAGCTTAATATTTCCTTAACAATACAACGTAATTAAAACGTTTAGCTAATTTTTACAGAGTTATCTCCCTGTAGTGTTAGGTACCACCTTAAGCATCTTCAAACCAACTTTAACCCTGTCACTTCTTTATGTGCCTGTCCCAACTCAGGAGCCTGTATCAGGAGCCAGTAGTTCAGTGATTTTCGTTGCTTGATTTCTGTCATATTTGTATTTCGTAAATTGTTTTGTTATAAATTAGGCCGTTAGTTTCTCAATTGAATTGTTTCCTATTTTTCATGTCGAGACCTTTTGTAGCCAACTATACGGTATGGGTTTTTCTCATTGTTGAAGGCCTACATTTGCCTATAATCGCTTACATCCACTTCATTTAAACTTTGGTGGATAGTTGTCTCATTGGAAATCATACCACATCTGCTTCTATTTGTGACAATATTTTGGGGCGATTTTCTAACCTTCGTGACATCCAAGTTTAACATATTTATAACAATTTTTATTTGCAATATATTATATTTCATAGTCATTATTATTCCTGGAATACCAATCCGTGTTATTTATGCTCTATTCTTTCATGGAATGTAACATTGTATTGTTTAATTGACAGTCATGAAACTATTAAGTTTATCATGGATTACACCAACAAGTGATAAAATATCAGAAAATAAGCAATTAATTTTTGTATTAAAACAGATTTATTTTGTCAAGATGTTAACATTAACAAAATTTTTGATATTTTCTAATTTTTTAATTTAATTGAGGATTTTTTTTAATGGTCAGCAGCAAATATTACATGCATAATCAGGACAAGAACATGTTAATGAGATATGGAAGTTCCCTGCTTTGTAAAATTTCCATCACACGGAGTGACATTTTTAATGTATTGGTTCACAAGGTAACATTTTGAAGAAGATATACCCTACAGACATTTTCTTGACTCCAAACAACCAGTCTATGCTCTTGTTCCAAAATGATACCTACTTGTCAGATAAGTAGCAAACCCCAATTTAAAGTCTTTGGCTTGAGATCTAAAATAACCTCCTGAAATGAGCATGTTTTACAAAACTTGTGTAAAATGTTAATAAACATTAATTAAGGGCTGTTCTAGAATTAAATGCATGGGGAGGGGAGGCACTTTTCTAAGACCCCGACCACCCATAAAATAAATACTAAATTTTTACTAACTTATAATTCTTACAAAATTCTTAGTAAAATGTAAACACCCATAAAATAATATTGAGTGCCTCCCACCCCATACCCAATAAGTTTTAGAACAGCCCATTTGTTTATTTGAGAAACACCTTGATTAGTTAAACACTGACCTAGACAACAGATAGCATGGCGATGTTCCTCATCAAATGATAACTTCATCAGAGCAGCTACAGCAGGACCTGGGTGGTGTTCCATATCACCTGTTCTTGGAGCTGGAATTAAAAACTTTACTATAATCCAATCGGTAAATTTCAAAAATATTATTCTAAGCTTTTTATTCATAAGTACTTGTGAAACTGTATCAACAATGTTCTTTCTTTTTTAAGTCAAATGGTTTTGTACTTTACAGATCAAGTTGGTCTTAAATCAAACATGTGATGAAATATACAAATGGTTTTATGATTTATCTTATTTTAGTGTGGGGGATACTTTGAACTCATGCATGCCTTTTGAAGTATTTCTCATTTTTCCTTATTTTTTTGTGTGCATTGTATTTCTTATTTTACACCTATTATTTTTCTATGTTAAATTTTTTTCCATTCTTTCTTGTATATTTGTAATTTCTGATTTTAGTACTCTTTTTCTTGTTTGTTTTTTTAATAATTTTCATGATACCTGAGGTCAATTGGGGTAAATGACGTCATTGAACAATCAATTCTTACTCTGATGTAATAAACTATGCATTGTGCCAAAGGAAATTTACGTGAAATTGCACGAATTCCAAAGTCATCTTGTGCAATTCATATAATTTTTGATTCATGGTTGATGTAGCATGCATTGTTACACTTGGTATGTCAACCCCGGTTTGTAAATTTTCAAATTTTGTGATATTTCATTATTGCAAAATATATGAAGCGATAAGTACCATCGTAATAAAAATTTCATGTTTTAAATTTTCATAGCATTATTTACAAGCATCATCTCCATAAAACATATAAATAAATATCACATACTTGTCTGTTAATCACATACATAGTATCCAGGGAAGGCACGAAAGGTAGAGGCAAATTTAGAATTCACTTACATATTCACTGAACTTGACACCAACCTCTAACAGAGATTGAAAGTGTCTTCCCTAGGTGCCATGTACGTTTTTATGGAACAGCCCTGATCAATTTTGAATTTATGATAGGTATTTTTTTTCTTAAGGTCTTTTCTTTCTATCATCATACCTGTTTTTACTTTTCCATCTTCCTCTTCATCTAGACTATCTCTCAATTGATCACAATGTGCTCTAAGTTGCTCCAATAATCTGAGCACCCTTGCCTCCCTCCGTCCACGTTTGTCGTCAGGATGTGAGTGAACAATGTTATGTAATGCTGCAGCAGCTCTTGCTCTAGCTTCTTTACTGCCCCTGGTGTTCCCCAGTAAGGCGGAGTCTTTGTCACTTCCATGGAGAAGCTGGATGAGAAGTGGCATGCAACCTGAAATGATAAATTTTGATGCAGGCATTTCAAGAATAGATATAATAATAAAATATAAGCTACATGTATGTACAGCTTATTTTCAAATCCAATTATTATAATGTATTTTTGTATACTGATTTATTTGTAATGATGACAAATAAATATGCTTAAAATTAAAATAGATACAGAATAAAATATGAAAATTATACATTATATACACAAGGTCCCCAACTAAATTTTCAAATATTTGTATTCATTTCAGATATTTGTATTTTTTGTTAAATCTATAAACAATTTGTACAGAATTTGTTTCATTTAGATTTTGTTATACAGTGTAGGGCATTATCCATTGTTAAAGGTCGTTTGAAATTAGTTACTTCTATATTTATTATATATCAAAGACAGCTACTCAATTTCAAGAGTATATTAACATTTTTTGAGACACATTCAACCAAATATTTTTAGTTTTTGCCAGCCGTTAGGCTGAACTGACAGCAATACTATTATCCATTCAGGTTTTTTCTCAAATTTTGTCATTAGACATAAGTCAAGACTACTGTAAATTCAGAAATTATTGTGAGGTTTTTATTAATGTGAATAATGCAACTGGGTGAGTATTGCAATTATAAAATCTTGCATTCTGATATCTAATACATATATATGTATGCAGATTTTCCTGAAATCACAATAATTAATCTCGCATTATTGTTCATTTATCAAAAATCTCAATAATAAATGCACACAATAATTTCTGAATTTACAGTATACACAATTGATTCATACATTTTTATTATCAGCAACTAGTACATATCATATGAAAAGCTTGACTTAAAACTTTTCAAGAACACATACCTGACTGTCTCATGGCTATACAACTGTCCTGTGAACTAGACATGGCTAATAATGTACGACTCATATCGTCTTTGTCATGTGTACCTAACATACTCAACAAGGAATACACCATTTCAACCTGAAAGATGATGCATTTATATTTGTATCATAATTTTAGGTAGTCTTAAATATCTCACAGTTTAAGCCTTATAAAAAAAAAATATTGAAAAAAATATATGAATTTTTATTTTAAAAGTTTGAAACTCGTATCATATTTTCATGTTGTCTAAAATGTCTCAGAATCTCATCCTTATAAAAAATATTAAGATATGTATTAGTCTGAAACTACAAATAAAAAAAATCATGGACCAAATGAATTCAAACAATGGAAAAGTCCACCTATCATTTGGAATGGTGAACTATAATCAAAATAATGAAAACATCCTATTACCTTAGTTCCAAATGGTTGTGGTTGGCCTGTAGCACCGTTCACCTCCTCAGGTGGTTCTCCAATGGAAGGAGGATGAGGTTTAGTAGGTAACTTGGAATTCTGGGAGTTATTTGTATTTGTAGAGTTGAAGGACATAATACTGGCAACATCCTGCTGTTGTTGTTGTTGAGAAACACCTTGGATACTGTTTTCTCTGGAGTCTACAAAAGATAAATGGTTTAACTGGTTTGAAATGTCTTACACTGAGGGTGTATGCAGCTAAAATTTAAAATAACATAAAAGACATCTTCAACTGAGAATACATTATTTATATAACAAGTGAAACTGCGAGTAAACAGGAAGTTGTTGAGTGATGAATCTGAAAACGCATCACACGGTATAGCTGACTCATATAAACCCTGAAACCAAATTTCAAAAATTCTTGTAATGTAGTTCCTGAGATATATGTGACAAAAATTTTCAACTACTTGGATGTCATGTGTAAAATGATGTAAGTGTTCGGTAAACAAGAAGTTATTGAGTGATGAATCTGAAAACGCATCACACGGTAAAGCTGACTTATATAAACCCTGAAACCAAATTTCAGAAATCCTTATGATGTAGTTCGAGAAAAATGCAACGAAAAATATTCATGGGACGGACGGACGGACGGATGGATGGACGGACGGACAGACAGCGGTAACCCCCACTTTTTTAAAGCAGGGGTATAATTATGAGAAAATATCAGTCCACGTGTTTAACTATTTTTTCAAAGCAACAGGATACTTTGTATTTTAACAGGGCTAAAAAAAAGTAACATAACACATACCAAACACACATAGGTTTGTGAAATTGCATGACCAGGAAGCAAGTATGTGCTTAATGAGACCCAACTCATAACAAATTTGTTAATGACACTTTAATACAAAAGCTTTCAATTGGAAATATGCATGCTACTTATAAACTGTTGACTGTAAAATATAATTTCAAGGATAAAATTTAAAGAAAATGTGGAATATTTGTAATGGTTAGAATCTTTTATTCAAGAAAAAAAATCCTACATCCTTTTACCTTTTTTGAGAGGGCTGATTGGCCAAGCACCGTGGTAAAGGGAAGATACATTAAAGCTAGCATCAGGATCAATAATGGTAGCATCGGCAGCTTCATCCGTCGTTAAGTCTGCTGTCTGTATTGCTATGGAGATATTGTCTACTTCCTCTTGGTCTTGTTCTGGTTCCTGAAAATTTTTCATTAAAGGTATTAGTGCATTCTTAATAGTTGGGAGTACCAGGGATGTATAATAGTTTTTAATTATTCTAGTTGTACATCCCTCTATTGCTTGTGTTGCCTATCACGATTTCATTAATACAGGGTTGCTGCTTGTAATGAAGCTTATGGTATCTTCTCACGTTTTTTTTTAAATGGGATTCCTTTTATACATATTGATAAATCATCAGATAATTATGGTAAAAATGGACTAATTTAATTGTGTTTTCAATGAAACATCTACTTAAGATCTCATCTGATTCAAATTAATCACTTTGTCAAGAACCTTAAAAATATCACCGGTAATTAACCATGGAGAATTTTGTTTACAGTATTTGGTAACATGATAGGCCCTCGATTCTAAATTAATGTGGTTTGTTGACTTTTGATAAACATGTAAATGATTCTGTCTTTGGGAGTTACTATAAATTGCCCTAAATATGAGGCAACATTTTACGATCTTTCCAGAAATTTGAACATAGGTTAACTCTAGTTTCAAACTTAAATAACTTCTAATATTTAAAAAAAAAATTTTTGTTAAAATCCCATCTGATTCAGGTGATTTATTATAGTTCATTTTCTGTGAAGTAATGCTAGCTTCATTTATAGTTATCTCCCCTTCTAAATAGCCCTGTTCATCCACTGATAATTTACTAAAATGAAACTTTTCAAACGCTCTCTATAGCAGAACCACTTTAGAGCCATTTCCATTTTTTATCTCAATCTTGTATATATGTTCAAAAAAGTCTTTTGTTTTATTCAAAATATCAAATTAGTTATTAATAATTTCCACGTCATCCCGTTCCATTTTGAGAATTATTTGGCTTATTTTTTTTTTATTCTGGACCACAAATATACTTTGTAGACTTTTCACCATCTTGAATCCACAGAACTCAAGAGCATATAACTTTCCCCTAATGATTTCTAATTTTGCACTCAGTTGCCTAAAGCTTTTAAGGATTCCCCTTTGCACTCAGTCGCCTAAAGCTTTCAAGGAATTGCCTTTTGCACTCAGTCGCCTAAAGCTTTCAAGGATTCGCCTTTTGCACTCAGTCACCTAAAGCTTTCAAGGATTCGCCTTTTGAACTCAGTCGCCTAAAGCTTTCAAGGATTCCCCTTTTGCACTCATTTGCCTAAAGCTTTCAAAGATTCCCCTTTTGCACTCAGTCACCTAAAGCTTTCAAGGATTCCCCTTACTATTGAATCAACATCTTGTACTCAACTGAGAGAAAAATCAATGAAAATCTCAAAGACAAACTATCTCCAAATTCTGATTCACCTACACTAGCCAAGCATCTTGTGTTAAGATTTGAAAACTGTGAATTCATCATATTCTTTCGTACAAATTTTGGTGGATTGAGTAATAAAGGTATTTCTGTTGTTGGTAAATTGATTTCATTGTTTAGAAAAATTCTGCATACACGTCTACTATATGATATGGGTGTTGCTCATTGTTGAATGTCGGACGATGACCTAAAGTTGTTTTCATTGTTGTCATTTGGTCTCTGAAAGACAGTTGTCTCATTGGCAATCATACCAGATCTCCAAATGTTCATAAAGAAAAAGAGAGTTTCGTTGAACACAGTTATTCTTGGTTCGACTATACCCATGAATATTAATGAATCGTTCTCTCCCTCACTACTATGTTTACCTGGTTATATATATCTTCTGTCTGATCCTTATCTGTAGACTCTGACATGTTTGATACTTGCATCTGTTGTTGCTAAAACATACAAATTAACACTTTACTAAAAATCAAACTATCATATTTCTGTGGTGTATTCAAAATCAGTGTAACGTTTTAGTTCATGAGGGGAGGGGTGTTGTTACGATTTTTTTCCCTTCTGACTGTAGTTTTGTTTTGTTTTAGCATTTTACTAGTCCATCAATTTAGTTTAGTTCCATCTTTTTCTTTTAAAATGAACATTTTAAACCAAAAATAAAAGTTTTGTGTGTTTATTTTAACCTGTTTATCGTATCTTGTTAATTCTGGTATATTTTTGTACAGAGTTAGTCTAACACACATTTCATATGATAAACATGAGGAAATCTTAATTCCCCCCTCCCACAACATTTCATATATATTTTTTTAAACTCTTGTGCAACTGAAACAACCACATCCCCTATCTGTATTTTTCAATAATGTTTATGAAATGAACATCATCAATTTCAAAAAGAAGTCATTTGTGAAAATGTTCTTGTTTTATATATTTCAGCAGCATTTCAATAGGCCTGAAAGTTTTTAATGTTTTTTGGGAAAATATTTTCACCTGAACATTTCTGACAAGTACATTGAAAATAAAAGAAGAATGTGTTTGGGGACACAAATGCCCTCACTCTAGCTTTGCAATTGACGGACGGAAAGACAGACGGACAGATGGTCATGGGTAACCCTTTATGCCCCCAATGGCAGGGGGCATAAAAATCCTATTTTCTAACCTGTAGGGGAACCAATTCAAACTTTTATAAATATACACAATGGATTTATTATTCACAGAGTACACATTTTAGTAGATTTCATAGATATAGGTAATCCAAGAATTCAAATGTTCAACAAATAAATTTTTTATAGGTATGTAAGAAAACTTTTGCAAAACCAAACAATCAACTATCCACAAAAGTACAATTTTTCCTCAATCAATGAAAATTGGTAACAACAAAAATAAATGACAGTACTTGTAGATTATCATACCCGAGATCGTTGTTGCTGACTGTGCAATCTCATGATTTCCTCCTCTATAATTCTTACTCTCTGTAAACGTGCCTCCTGTCTTTGTATTATCTGTTCATTAGTACCGAGTGTTTCTTCAAAAGTGTCCCGTACCTTCTTAGCCTCTAACTGGTACTGTCTTCTCGTTAGGTCTAACTGTCGATTATGCTGAAATTATATAATATTACCATGATTATAGAATGTTCAGAAATTTTAATTTTCATTGTCACTCATATTCATTTTTTTAAGTTATGTTAAAGTCGAGTCAATATAAGATGTGTGATACTAGGATTTAGTTATGTGGTTTAGTTTATTTTCGTAGATACCAATCTTCATGGATTAGGGAAAAATCTTTTGATCACAGACATTTGATTTCCTAGTTTACAAAAGTCTGCATACAAGTCTATATAAAATTTATACTTAAGTGAAAAGGTTCATCTGTACCCATGAAAACCTCAAAAACTGGTATCCCACTTGTACCCATCAAAACCTCAAAAACTGGTATCCCACTTGTACCCATGAAAACCTCAAAAACTGGTATCCCACTTGTACCCATGAAAACCTCGAAAACTGGTATCCCACTTGTACCCATGAAAACCTCGAAAACTGGTATCCCACTTGTACCCATGAAAACCTCGAAAACTGGTATCCCACTTGTACCCATGAAAACCTCGAAAACTGGTATCCCACTTGTACCCATGAAAACCTCGAAAACTGGTATCCCACTTGTACCCATGAAAACCTCAAAAACTGGTATCCCACTTGTACCCATGAAAACCTTGAAAACTGGTATCCCACTTGTACCCATGAAAACCTCGATAAATTGGTATCCCACTTGTACCCATGAAAACCTCGAAAACTGGTATCCCACTTGTACCCATGAAAACCTCAAAAACTGGTATCCCACTTGTATCCATGAAAACCTCGAAAAACTGGTATCCCACTTGTACCCATGAAAACCTCGAAAAACTGGTATCCCACGTGTACCCATGAAAACCTCAAAAACTGGTATCCCACGTGTACCCATGAAAACCTCAAAAACTGGTATCCCACTTGTACCCATGAAAACCTCGAAAAACTGGTATCCCACTTGTACCCATGAAAACCTCAAAAACTGGTATCCCACTTGTACCCATGAAAACCTCGAAAAACTGGTATCCCACTTGTACCCATGAAAACCTCAAAAACTGGTATCCCACTTGTACCCATCAAAACCTCAATAAAATGCTTCGCTGGGCGCAGCTTGATACGACCGCAGAGGTCGAACCCTGAACAGTTGGGGCAAGTATGGACACAACATTCAAGCTTGATACAGCTCTGAATTTGGATTGTGATTAAATATTTGACACAGCATAGGTTTCTGACACAGAAAGAATGTGGTCTAAGAACTTCAATTTTTTTAATTTACCTATTATGGTCCAATGTCAAAAATCAAAATACATGGTTAGATTCAGCATATCAAAGAACCCCATATATTCAATTTTTGTTGAAATCAAACAAAGTTTAATTTTGGACCCCAACTTGGACCAACTTGAAAACTGGTCCCATAATCAAAAATCTAAACACATGTTTAGATTCAGCATATCAAAGTACCCCAAGATTTCAATTTTTGTTAAAATCAAACTAAGTTTAATTTTGGACCCTTTGGACCTTAATGTAGACCAATTTAAAAAACGGGACCCAAAATTAAAAATCTAAATACACGGTTAGATTTGGCATATCAAAGAACCCCAATAATTCAATTTTTGATGAAATCAAACAAAGTTTAATTTTGGACCCTTTTGACCTCAATATGAACCAATTTGATAGCGGACCCACAAAATAAAAAACCTAAATACATGGTAAGATTCAGCATATCAAAGAACCCCATATATTCAATTTTTGTTGAAATCAAACAAAGTTAAATTTTGGACCCCAATTTGGACCAACTTGAAAACTGGGCCAAATAGCTAAAATCTAAATACATGTTTAGATTCAGCATATCAAAGAACCTCATATATTCATTTTTTGTTGAAATCAAACAAAGTTTAACTTTGGACCCCAACTTGGACCAACTTGAAAACTGGTCCCATAATCAAAAATCTAAACACATGTTTAGATTCAGCATATCAAAGAACCCCAAAAATTCAATTTTTTTTAAAATCAAACTAAGTTTAATTTTGGACCCTTTGGACCTTAATGTAGACCAATTTAAAAAACGGGACCCAAAATTAAAAATCTAAATACACGGTTAGATTTGGCATATCAAAGAACCCCAATAATTCAATTTTTGATGAAATCAAACAAAGTTTAATTTTGGACCCTTTTGACCTCAATATGAACCAATTTGATAGCGGGCCCACAAATAAAAAATCTAAATACATGGTAAGATTCAGCATATCAAAGAACCCCATATATTCAATTTTTGTTGAAATCAAACAAAGTTTAATTTTGGACCCCAATTTGGACCAACTTGAAAACTGGGCCAAAAATCTAAAATCTAAATACATGTTTAGATTCAGCATATCAAAGAACCCCATATATTCAATTTTTGTTGAAATCAAACAAAGTTTAATTTTGGACCCCAACTTGGACCAACTTGAAAACTGGGCCCATAATCAAAAATCTAAACACATGTTTAGATTCAGCATATCAAAGAACCCCAAGAATTCAATTTTTGTTAAAATCAAACTAAGTTTAATTTTGGACCCTTTGGACCTTAATGTAGACCAATTTAAAAACAGGACCCAAAATTAAAAATCTAAATACACGGTTAGATTTGGCATATCAAAGAACCCCAATAATTCAATTTTTGATGAAATCAAACAAAGTTTAATTTTGGACCCTTTTGACCTCAATATGAACCAATTTGATAGGGGGTCCACAAATAAAAAATCTAAATACATGGTTAGATTCAGCATATCAAAGAACCCCATATATTCAATTTTTGTTGAAATCAAACAAAGTTTAATTTTGGACCCCAATTTGGACCAACTTGAAAACTGGGCCAAAAATCTAAAATCTAAATACATGTTTAGATTCAGCATATCAAAGAACCCCATATATTCAATTTTTGTTGAAATCAAACAAAGTTTAATTTTGGACCCCAACTTGGACCAACTTGAAAACTGGGCCCATAATCAAAAATCTAAACACATGTTTAGATTCAGCATATCAAAGAACCCCAAGAATTCAATTTTTGTTAAAATCAAACTAAGTTTAATTTTGGACCCTTTGGACCTTAATGTAGACCAATTTAAAAACAGGACCCAAAATTAAAAATCTAAATACACGGTTAGATTTGGCATATCAAAGAACCCCAACAATTCAATTTTTGATGAAATCAAACAAAGTTTAATTTTGGACCCTTTTGACCTCAATGTGGACAAAGTTGATAATGGGGCCCAAAAATCAAAAATCTAAATACATGGTTAGATTCAGCATATCAAAGAACCCCATATATTCAATTTTTGTTGAAATCAAACAAAGTTTAATTTTGGACCCCGATTTGGACCAACTTGAATACTGGGCCCATAATCAAAAATCTAAATACATGTTTAGATTCAGCATATCAAAGTACCCTAAAAATTCAATTTTTGTTAAAATCAAACTAAGTTTAATTTTGGACCCTTTTGACCTTAATGTAGACCAATTTGAAAACGGAACCAAAAATTAAGAATCTAAATACACGGTTAGATTCGGCATATCAAAGAACCCCAATAATTCAATTTTTGATGAAATCAAACAAAGTTAAATTTTGGACCCTTTGGACCTCAATGTGGACCAATTTAAAAACGGGGCCCAAAATCCAAAAACTTAATACACGGTTAGATTCAGCATATTAAAGAACCCCAAGAATTCAAGAATAAAACCCCATTGAAATTGATCAAGAAATAAGCAATTTATACGAAGTATCTTCTTTTGCACAATACTGTGCAATTGAATATTTCTTGCTATTGTGCAATACTGTACAATTGACAATTTCTTGCTATTGCTTTTTTTGCAATATTGTGCTATTGGATATTTCTTGCTATTGCGCAATACTGTGCAATTGAAGATTTCTTGCTATTGCGCAATACTGTGCAATTGAAGATTTCTTGCAATTGTGCAATACTGTGCAATTGAAAATTTCTTGCTATTGCACAATACTTATTATATAATAATTTACACATCCTGTTTGGTGTGTATCTCCTACCATATCATTATTATTTGCTTTTAAATATTAATCAGAAATAACCAACTTAAAATGGAAAATTTTAAAAGAAAAAAAAAAGGAAAAAAAGAAAAAAAAAGAAAAAGAAAAAAATCCCCCCCCCCAAATTTTTTGAACCCCCTTATGATTCATCACCCCCAAACTCAATCCCAGCCTTCCCTTTGTGGTATGGTACCTTGCAGTACAATTTCAGAGAGATCCATACACTTGAACACAAGTTATTGTCTGGAAACTAGAAAAATGCTTATTTTTGGCCCCTTTTTGGCCCCCAATTCCTAAACGTTTCGGGCAATTACCCCCAAACTCAATTCCAGCTTTCCCTTTGTGATATGGAACCTTGTAGTACAATTTCAGAAATATCCAAACACTTACACACAAGTTATTGTCATGAAACTAGAAAAATGCTTGTTTTTTGCCCCTTTTTTGGCCCCTAATTCCTAAAATTTTGAGGCAATTACCCCCAAAATCAATTACAGCCTTCCCTTTGTGATATGGAACCTTGTGGTACAATGTCAGAGAGATCCATACACTTACACACAAGTTATTGTCTGGAAGTTACAAAAATGCTTATTTTTGGCCCCTTTTTGGCCCCTAATTCCTTAACTGTTGGTACCATAACCCCCAAAATCAATCCCCACCTTCCTTTCGTGGTATTGAACCTTATGGTAAAATTTCATGGAGATCCATTCACTTAAACTAAAGTTAGAGTGCGAAAACCAATGTGTCTTCGGACGACGCCGGACGACGCCAGACGACGACGATGACGACGACGCCAACGTCATACCAATATACGACCAAAAAATTTTCAATTTTTGCGGTCGTATAAAAACTGGTATCCCACTTGTACCCATGAAAACCTCAAAACTTGGTATCCCACTTGTACCCATGAAAACCTCGAAAAACTGGTATCCCACTTGTACCCATGAAAACCTCAAAAACTGGTATCCCACTTGTACCCATGAAAACCTCAAAAACTGGTATCCCACTTGTACCCATGAAAACCTCGAAAAACTGGTATCCCACGTGTACCCATGAAAACCTCGAAAAACTGGTATCCCACTTGTACCCATGAAAACCTCCAAAACTGGTATCCCCCAATAATAATGAATCCACAGTTTATGTATATGGAAGACAGACCCTGTTCGTTTACAGTTCTTTTTCATTGTATGAACTAACTGAACATACAATTATACTTAAAACCTATTTCTTTGTGTTGCTGGATTGCTGTCTCAGACATTGTAGGCATGAACCAAAGTTTTTTTTCATCTTTTTATGTTAATGTACAGATACCTGAAAAAAAAACTCATCAAAGACACCAAGCTTGTAATTTTGTAAGCCAGACACACATTTTGTATACATAAGACTCAATAGTGACGTTTGAATCAAAACAGTTGCAATGAGAATCACTTTACAATTGTTCCAAACAACAACTAGGATGAATCTAAATACCAGTTTGAAGTAGTCCAAATGAAGGAGACCAGGAAAACCTCTATTGATTAGTTATCATCCAGTGACAAATATTTCATGTACACTAAGGACCATGGAAACCTGTATATTTGTTAAGAACTATTAACAACAACTGCTCATAACAAGAAAAAGTTTAAATTGATTGATTGTTGAATGCTTAATGTCCAGTGGCAAATATTTCATGCATGTACAGGACAATTAAAAAAAAAAAGTTTAAAGAAAACCTTTACCCATGGATAAGTTTACATTAAATAGTATGTAAAGTAATACCTTACAGTTACATAAATAAATGAATCTTATTTTGCTTTTTATCAAAATAAAAGGGAGACTTGAAAGTCATAAGTAATTCATTCACAAATATTGATCTTCAAAGAAACAAGATATTAGATGTTTATTCAGGAGTCTGTTTCACCAAATATTTTTTTTCTTCAAGCCATTAGATAAACTTTTATCAGTCAAGGCATTTCATCTTAATCTATAGAGGTTTCAGGTTGTGATCAAAGACTTCAAGTTCAACGATTTTATATAAAAAGGGAGGTGGAAGATGCAAAAGGGGGAAATCAAAACTCATTAGTTGAAGAGAGAAAGACAAAAGTAATAAAGTTTGTTCTAACACAGATGGCAGTACAAATTATAGCAAGAATATAAGAAGATCATATCTAAGATCAGAATTGTTCTGAAGGTAAAGTGTTAACTTCATGGCATCCTGAATTCTATATAATCCTTATCACTAATAGTAAAACATAAAAAGATTGGCGGATCTTACATAATATAATGACAAACTCAGATATGCTGATTCTCGACTCTATAATCAACAGCAAAAAATTCCAGATTTGTAAGATTTGTTTGCCTTTTATAGTTGGTAATGCCTTGATATTACCCCTCACTCAGCTGTTTATTGATATTACCCCTCAGCTGTTTATTGATATTACCCCTCAGCTGTTTATTGATATCACCCTTAAGGTGAGTTGTTCTATCAAAGATGAAGGAGTATTGGTATCTAGCAAAGAATTCTGATCAAACTAGTAATAGAGGCCTTCTTAATTGGAGATTTGATGATTTTAAAATAATTTAAAAAATAATTTTCTCTCTTTTTATGTGTTTTCTATACAAATGTGCATCTATTTTCAAAGAATAAATTTAGTAATATTTTAGAAAATAAAAGAGATAAATTTATGCATTATTATTTTGATTTTCAGTTACAGTTCAATGAGCCAAAGTTGTATGCAAAATTTTATGAAAATCTGTGATATAACCCATTTACTGTACCTTAACCTTATTTGTAGTGAGGTGCTATGTTGAAGGCCTCACTGTGAATTTGAAATGAAGAACAGTAATAAAAGACAAGTTCTTTTGCTTTGGGTTTTGTCAAGTGTGAGTAGGGATTTTGTTTCATTTGTTTCAATTACATATATATCTCTTTTCCCAGACTTCCTTCCAGAAGAAAAATTACAGTCACATGGGGGTTTAAAGCTTGCACTCTCTCTCTCTTTCACCTAAATATTTGTTAAACAACTGATAGTTTCAAAACTGCAGAACTAAACCAGCTTTATGAAAACTGAAATTTTACCTCAAGTTCAACCTGTATTTTTCAAATACTCTTTTGACAAAGACTTAAGTTTTTTTTTTAATTTCACATAAAATTACAAATTTTGAAATTACAAGCTATCACATCATAATTGACGATTTTGCACTGAATAGGTCTGGCAATTATTTTTAATTAATTTTGAAAAGATTTATGAAAAATAAACAAATATTAAGGGACAACACCAAAGAGAAAATGATAAAAAAGATAATAAAAGTTCCAATCTTTTATGGCATAATTGGTAAATTAGCTCTTATGTTACCTCCCCCTTCAACATTCCTTCCCCCCTTTAACAATTAAATCTTTAAAATTTCATTACAAGAAACATTTCCACTTTTTAATTTTCTTACTTGCAATTCCTAATCATGCAATACTCAATAAAATGCCACACAATGCAGTTTAATCAAATAAATTGTACACTTCATCTTTAACAATCACCCGATTGTTATATAATAGTATTGATATTTTCTAATACAATTAAACATCCTATTCCAATCAATAAAGCATATTTACATAGCTGTAGTCTGTAAAAAAGCAATTTCCTACGAGTACATAAAACTTTTACTTTTAAAATTCATTTAAATGTTGTAATCTTACAATGATGTAGTAGTGAGGAGAAAAAAAAAAGTTTTTCAATCAAATTTTATTTTTTTATTTATTTTCTCCAGAAATTTTAATAAGAGCATGAGAGAATGAATTTTCTTATTTGGATAAAATAAAAATCAAACCTAATGACACTGACAGAATTAATATTGATTTGTGACTGACATTTAATCATTAAATTGTAACATTCAGTACATAAAGAGCAAATGTAAGTGTCTGAGAAACATTCAAATGTGAGTGTCTGAGAAACATTCAAATGTGAGTGTCTGAGAGACATTCAAATGTAAGTGTCTGAGAAACATTCAAATGTAAGTGTCTGAGAGACATTCAAATGTAAGTGTCTGAGAGACATTCAAATGTAAGTGTCTGAGAGACATTCAAATGTAAGTGTCTGAGAGACATTCAAATGTAAGTGTCTGAGAGACATTCAAATGTAAGTGTCTGAGAGACATTAAAATGTACAGAATGAAATGGAAGTTTGAGGTCGACTCATACTATTGTTGTTTGTTAACAGACAATGGTTCACCAACAAAAATTTAATTAATGACATCAAATTACAGGGGAAAATAGTTCTGTTTCCACCCTTCCTACCAACGATAATTTTCTATGCCTACAGTAACACTTTTAATGAGCATTTTTGGTTAAGCATCGTTATAAATCAAGTTATTTTTGGTTAATAGACATGAAAGTCCAGAACATTTCCCTATATATATATATATATATATTAAGCTTATATTGGAGCCACTATTCAAACAATAGCAATTAGATTTTAATTTTGCCCTTTTTTAAAATTAAAATCTTTACTCTAATATCTGTAACATTGACATCTGATCTCATTTGAATATATAGATTTCACAGTGAATACCAGTATATAGATTTCACAGTACAGCCAAAGAACTGTAATGTTTTTTCTAAAATTCTGTCGTATTTTTAAAGAAATCTATGTTTTACAGTAATTCTACCATAAATATCCATCATAAGAGAAAGTTGTAGTAATCTGAATTCTATAAATCAAATTCCAACCGTATTTCATAGCTGGAAATTTTCTGTAATCAATGGACATAAAATATAAATGACTTTCAGCACAAACTATTGATATGTTCTATGATTTTCTTCACATTCCTGTGCATTACATCATCACCTGTTTCTTCCCAATTGCATAACCAGACTTTTTACCTTTCAGCTATGAATCAGTAATTAAGTTGAACAGAAATTGTACATTTGAAATTGTGCAAGACTGATTTGAAATGACTAACTTTACTGTATGTATGTACGTAAAAAAATATTTTTGCTATCTCAGAAACTGGTAGCAGGCTATAAATAAAGCCTTCTGCTTATTACTAGTTTGGTCATAAACTTTTCATTCAATTATAAACACTATCAATCACAAGAGTGCTCACTCTGAAGAACATCTAATCTGGCCTGCTTTAATGATCAAAATCTAATTTATGTTGAAAGGTTTTTAGGTTTTAGTATAAGCATCACATAAACTTAACAATATCAATGAACAATGTAAATGAAATCAAGGTCAGATGAACCCTGCCAGACAGACATGTACACCTTACAAGTTACAGTTATTTTAGTTGACCTACTGTTTAAAGCAACTGAGAAACAGACCTAACCCTGAAAACTTATTAATGTAGACCAATGAACTGTGAAAAAAGGTCAAAGGTCAGATGAACACTGCCAGACACAGATATGTACACCGTACAATCATTCCATACACCAAATATAGTTGACCTATTGTTTTCACATTTGAGAAAAGGCCAAAACCCTGAGAACTTCACATTGATAAACAACCCTGAAAATGAGGTCAAGGTCATATGAACCCTGACAGACAGGCATGTACACCTTACAAACATTTTGACCAAAAATGCAGTTAACCTACTGCTTGTAGTATCTGAGGAACAGACCTAACCACAAAAATTATTGTTGACCAAAGGAACTTGAAAAGGATAAACCAAAGAACTCCATCATTTCCAAATAATCCTCAACCAATGAGTGATTCTCTAATATTCATGTCACTGATGCATCTTATGTGAATGAAATGTACGTTTAGCCTACTAAATTTAAATCCTGGTAGCATTTAACATAGTATTACCAAATCAGAAGGTAGGGCGTCCACTTTACGTCGAATGTTTTCTAGTTGTTCAAAATACCATTTTCTGTGTCGATCTTCGTCATCTAAATCTCTCAATAAACTGCCTCTGAAAAAGATAGTATTGTCATATAATGAAATAACAAAAAAGCACATGTTGTTGTGCTAAGCATACCATTGTTTAAGATGCACATAGATCCAGGTGAGTGACACAGGCTCTTTAAAGCCTCAAGTTGATTATCGAATTTAAGGAGCAAAAAATGTGGCCTTCCCCTTTGAAAAGAATTTTTCTGTAGTTTCTCAAAAAAGCTGTTTGACATTATCGAATCTAAATGAAAAATAGAGTCTGGCAACCATATATTTTCATCCACTCCTAATCTAAAGTATCAAAAAACAGAAAATACATCTGGAGAAAATTAACCTGAAACAGGACGGATTAACAGAAGGACAAACAGATGGGAAAAATAGAAGGATGGACAGACACTCAGACCAGAAAACATAATGCATCCCCTGGCCTTCTTTACTTAAGTAGACAAGGCATAAAAATATATTTATATTCTAAACTTTTGATATTTCAGAGTAGACCATTTCTGAGTCTATTTAAGTCTAACGATGCTGATCAATAGGACATGAATAACTAGCATTACAATGAGGATAAATTTGTCTGGAAGGAATTACATTTATAGATCATTTATATGCAGTAGTGTCTATATAAAGAAATATTATCAGTCTAGTGGATTGCCTGTTGGACTGATCTGTTTTATTAAGTTATTTTAAGCGGTTTGTAGGATATTAAATTCTGTTTGTATATGTATAACAGTTCTGATACTCTTTTTACAAAAAATCTTGTGATTAGAATTGATTGTGTGCTATACTTATATATGTCCTTGTTGTTAAGTCTGAATTACAAGTATTTTTTTTTTTAGAAAAAGAGCTGCAGACAGTCATGTCCCTTTTCTTAGTTAACATTGATTTTGTTTGGCACTACATTATAACATGGGGTACACTGTCAGGTCATCAATTTCAAAAATGGTTAGCTGGCCAAGTTATGTCTGGGTCTGCAACTTCTGTTCAAGTCTTACACAATATAAACACAACTTCTGTTCAAGTCTTACACAATATAAACACAACTTCTGTTCAAGTCTTACACAATATAAACACAACTTCTGTTCAAGTCTTACACAATATAAACACAACTTCTGTTCAAGTCTTACACAATATAAACACAACTTCTGTTCAAGTCTTACACAATATAAACACAACTTCTGTTCAAGTCTTACACAATATAAACACAACTTCTGTTCAAGTCTTACACAATATAAACACAACTTCTGTTCAAGTCTTACAGAATATAAACACAGTTTCTGTTCTGTAAAGTATATATGTGCATTATAAGAGGGCTGAATTATCAGCAATAAATGGGGAATGTGTCCATGGGACACAGATGGGACACAGATGATGCCCCCGCTTTCTTATAATATTATAAAGGGATATAACTCTAGAACTGTAAAAGTGACACTACCCAAATTTGTACTTGATCTGAGTTTTGTGGTAATGAGCATTGTGTATACGTTTCATAACATTTGGTTGAGGCAAACTAAAGTAAGAGAACTGAAACGAAAAATTCAGGCTGAATTTTTCCATTTGTAGAGGGGCATAACTCTGGAACAGCAAAAGTGACACCACCAAAATTCAAACTTGATCTGTGTTTTGCGGTAATTAGCATTGTGTATAAGTTTCATAACATTTGGTTGAGGCAAACTAAAGTAAGAGAATGGAAACGAAAAATTCAGCAATTTTTCCATTTGTAGAAGGGCATAACTCTAGAACAGCAAAAGTGACACCACCAAAATTCAAACTTGATCTGTGTTTTGTGGTTATAAGCATTGTGTATAATAATATTTGGTTGAAGCAAACTAAAGTTAAAGAACAGAAATGAAAAATTCAGCAATTTTTCCATTTGTAAAGGGGCATAACTCTAGAACAGTTCAAGTGATGCCACCAAAATTCAAACTTGATCTGTGTTTTGTGGTAATAAGTATTGTATATAAGTTTCATAACATTTGGTTGAGGCAAACTAAAGTTAGAGAACGGAAACCGATTTTGGGATGTATGTTCGCTACAGCGGGGGCATAATAAAACCATAAGTCTATTGTCATGAGATTTATATCCTTTAGTCTTACGGTATGGATTTTGCTCATTGCTGAAGGCTGTAGGGAGATCTATAGCTGCTAACATCTACATCATTTGGACTCTAGTGGATAGTTGTCTCATTGGTAACTATACCACATTCGATGTGTAATGCAAATGTTGTCTTGAGTGTAAAAATAATAATTTTTTTTCTTCTATTTTTACAGTCTTTCGTTTACTTTAGGACATGTGTTATTCACATGTTGATTTAAGTGTAAACACTTTTGTCTTTTCAAATTTGACATCTGCCTTAAAGCTAAAATAGTTCTAACAATTTATCACCTGTGTTCCTAAGTAGCTACACATCTGGTTCCTACCTGTATTAAAAGTAAATAGTTCCAAACTAATTTTCAAAAGACTACTTACTTCCATGTTAACAAGGGAAGTAATTGCTTTCTGATCTGTTCAAGATCAATTAAGTAATAATGCTGAAGTTTAAGAGATTCTATTTTGAGGAAGGAAGCGAAAAAAACAAGTTTTCCACCTGTGTTTTATGTTAAAACAATTGATATTTTACTTTTTTCCATCTGTCTGACAAGTTTCTGGGGAAATTTCCAAAACTATTATCTAACTAATAGATGGTTTGTATTTCTCAATAGTAAACATCCGAAGATAAAAATAAGCCAAAAAGTTTGCCTTACTTTGATATACTAGTAATGGGTTCATAGGACTTTTAGTGGACTATTAAAGGTTCTAAGTTCATAGGACTTTTAGTGGACTATTACTTACTAAACAAGGGTTCAGGGTTTATAGGATTTTTATTTAGTGGACTAATTGTTACTAATCAAGGGTTCTGGGTTCATAGGACTTTTAGTGGACTAAAAGTTACTAATTAAGGGTTCTGAGTTCATAGCACTTTTAGTTGACTAATAGTTACTAATCAAAGGTTCTCACTTCATAGCACTTTTAGTGGATTAATAGTTACTATTCAAGGCTACTACATTTGCCATGATTTATCCTGTTAAGTTTTTTATAAATTTTCAGCTGTTGAATTTTGTATAAAAGATTTAGCCAACAAAAAGGGTTGTTTTTAGACCTTAAATATTTTTGGCTATGATTAGACATGATATGTGTATTACGGTTAGGAAACTCCCCCATCATAATTGGCAGTACCTACTTTTGAGTTCCATTCCAACTTGATGAAAGTAAATCCTGGAAATGCATTGAACTGCAAAAACAGTGTATTTACTTCCTCTTATACAATTTTGCATTGCCTTATTGGGTCAGATCAGAAATATAGTTAAAAGAATTGTTTCCTAATACAATCTGGATTGTTCTTTTCATTTCTAATTAGACAAATCTTTCTATTTACAAAGACCCTAACCCTGGGGCCTAGGTTGGCTGGCAGCCACAGGCCTGCATTTATTATTTTTAAACTTATATGCATGGAATGCACTTCCTATGTAGAAAACAATATTTTCCTCAAGTGTAGAAAATTACTCTGAGAAAGGCCCTATGGCAGAAAAAAACAAATTATATAAAATATGGATGTCACATTAATATATGCATGTCTGCCAAGAGAAAATTGGCCACCTGCCAGGTTATAGATGCATCTGTTGTAATGAAAACACTATAAAAACATTTGTATGGAAAACATCTGTTTGTATATCTATCTTATATTGAGCATAGAGTAAACGTTGTTTATGATACTATGTTAAAATATCCTATTATATGGGACAAGTCACCATGTCTCAAAACAGTTACTAAACTTGCATGCTGTGAATGAGTTGATTCATCCTGTTGAAGAAAATATGATGGCCAAATGTTACTTTTCATTATGTAATTCCTGTAGAGTGAGCATTAGGACAACATTGAATGACATTCCCCTTATTGACCTTTCACCCAGTTTCACCATTGGTTCTGACCCTGACCTTTCATTGTGTTATTCCTGTAGTGTGAGTATTAGGACAAAACCATATGGCATTCCCCTTAATGACCTTTAACCCAGTTTCACCATTGGTTCTGACCCTGACCTTTCATTGTGTTATACCTGTAGCGCTAATATTGAAATATTTGTGGGTGATTATCTCAACATTGACCTTTCACTCCAATCCACCTTTATCTTTTTAAGGTAATTCCTGGAAAGCTAGAAGCAGGACATTCCCTTTGATGACCTTTCACCCTGTATCCCCATAGGTGATGACCTTTACCTTTCATTCATAATTGCTGAAACGATAAAACTAAGATATCATTGGATAACCTTTACCTTTCATTATGTAATTCCTGCAATGCTAGCATTAATATATCATTGGTCGACATTCCTTTTACAGTTTGTTTGGTCTCGTTTTGTCTCGGTTCCTCATTAGATTTTTGTTGTTCATTTTTTTCTGCCATCTTTGACTGTTGTTGCTTGAAGGCAGAAAATGTAAGATTGTCATTGGGTGAAACATCCTCCTCTGAAAAGATATAGAAAAAAACTTTTATTATAATTTTTTTTTTATGTCTTACTCTTGTATATTATGGGATCATGTCTCATTACTCATTAGAATTAAAGTCATCTCGAAAAGTCAAATCCTAAATTGACCCTCACACTTGCGTTAGATAACTTGTTCATATTTTATATAGATCTTTGAAGTAGGGATGATGAAGAGCATTTGGACATCTTCACTCTGATCTGTAGGAAACGGCAGAGCTGTTGGTTTTGAGACTACCTTTATCTAGCTACTTGTCTTAATACATTTTTAGTGTTTCCTATGTCATGAGAATAATGAACTAATTAGATCTGTCTTGAATATTGACCAATAAAAAAACAAACAAAAAAATATAACAATATTGGCAATTCGCATTACATTTTCATATTTATGTTTTCATATATGGTAAAGAGAATACCAGACAGACAAATTGAACAAATGTCTCACTAGAATCATTTTCCTTAATAGAAAAAAAACAAAAAGAAATAAACAAACCTGATGTAAGGCTTCTATGCTGTATGCATATTGGCACTTAACTTGTTGATGTTGGGAAATTATTAGTGTATTATGTCTTGTGATACAATCATCATTGATTTTGTCTGGACTTTACCCATCAATTCCATAGATTGACTGGGGTCCATCTTACAGACAGAAATTGGACAAAATTATTCAAAACATTCATTTTTATTTTCAGAATGTTTACTGGAATTTCTATTGTTTCCGAAACCCATTTTTAACTACTTCCAATAAGCAAAAAAACATTCTGAATAAAGATAGTGATATGTAGAACTGAAAATTTCCCTTCAGCAGCCCTTATCAATTATAGGACTTATTGCAACAACAGATATAAGCCTATAACCATTTCTTTAGGGACATCCTGGTTATTGAGAATTTCCAGACTGATTTCATTGTAATCTATAGGTAAATTGATACTGACAACAGTATATACTGATATAAAGTCTCTTGTGTAAACCTAGACAACAGAATGTTATATATGCTTTCAGCAGGTACAAAATGTAGCTCTTTATTCTATTTTGTAATTAGGCTGTTGGGAATGACAAAACAATGCTAAGATGACACAGTAACAATGAGAAACTTCAACCTAGCAGAATACCAGGGGTGTCAGAGCAAAGCTTGTAATGTTTTTTTTTTAGTTTTTTCTGAAAAAATTTGGTCTGAGGATTTGTAAACAAACAATTTAAAAAGAATCAACAAACACCAATAAGTCTGAAATATTTTCATGAAGGCAACTTAACCTTCATCATGTTTATAGTTTGCCTAATTTATGAAATAAACTGTTGACACAGAGATATGTTTTGCCTGTATGTAATTTTGAAAGTAAAATATCTATACTTTAACATGTAAACTATGAAAAATAGTCAAAGTCAATGAACCATGATTGAAGGTACAGGACATACCAAATATCATTGATTTACCATTAGTGGTTCCCCTTTAACTGATCTTATCACAAAATTTAACAACATGTTGACAATGCCAAAGCCATCCAAAAAGAGCATGTCTATGTCTCGCCTTCCCAACTTAAAAATAAAATGCTTCGCTGGGGCGCAGCTTGATACGACTGCAGAGGTCGAACCCTGAACAGTTGGGGCAAGTATGGACACAACATTCAAGCTTGATACAGCTCTGAATTTGGATTGTTATTAAATATTTGACACAGCATAGGTTTCTGACACAGAAAGAATGTGGTCTAAGAACTTGAAATTTTTTTAATTTACCTATTATGGTCCAATGTCCAAAATCAAAATACATGGTTAGATTCAGCATATCAAAGAACCCCATATATTCAATTTTTGTTAAAATCAAACAAAGTTTAATTTTGGACCCCAACTTGGACAAACTTGAAAACTGGGCCCATAATCAAAAATCTAAACACATGTTTAGATTCAGCATATCAAAAAACCCCAAGAATTCAATTTTTGCTAAAATCAAACTAAGTTTAATTTTGGACCCTTTGGACCTTAATGTAGACCAATTTAAAAAACGGGACTTAAAATTAAAAATCTAAATACACGGTTAGATTTGGAATATCAAAGAACCCCAATAATTCAATTTTTAATGAAATCAAACAAAGTTTAATTTTGGACCCTTTTGACCTCAATATGAAGCAATTTGATAGCGGGGCCCACAAATAAAAAATCTAAATTCATGGTTAGATTCAGCATATCAAAGAACCCCATATATTCAATTTTTGTTGAAATCAAAAAAAGTTTAATTTTGGACCCCAACTTGGACCAACTTGAAAACTGGGCCCATAATCAAAAATCTAAACACATGTTTAGATTCAGCATATCAAAGAACCCCAAGAATTCAATTTTTGTTAAAATCAAACTAAGTTTCATTTTGGACCCTTTGGACCTCAATGAAGACCAATTTAAAAAACGGGACCCAAATTAAAAATACGGTTAGATTTGGCATATCAAAGAACCCCAATAATTCAATTTTCGATGAAATCAAACAAAGTTTAATTTTGGACCCTTTTGACCTCAATATGAACCAATTTGATAGCGGGGCCTACAAATAAAAAATCTAAATACATGGTTAGATTCAGCATATCAAAGAACCTCATATATTCAATTTTTGTTGAAATCAAACAAAGTTTAATTTTGGACCCCAATTTGGACCAACTTGAAAACTGGGCCCATAATCAAAAATCTAAATACATGTTTAGATTCAGCATATCAAAGAACCCATACATTCAATTTTTGTTGAAATCAAACAAAGTTTAAATACTGGACCCTATCTTGGACCAACTTGAAAACTGGGCCCATAATCAAAAATCTAAACACATGTTTAGATTCAGCAAATCAAAGAACCCCAAGAATTCAATTTTTGTCAAAATCAAACTAAGTTTAATTTTGGACCCTTTGGACCTCAATGTAGACCAATTTAAAAAACAGGACCCAAAATTAAAAACCTAAATACACGGTTAGACTTGGAATATCAAAGAACCCCAATAATTCAATTTTAGATGAAATCAAACAAAGTTTAATTTTGGACCCTTTTGACCTCAATATGAACTAATTAGATAACGGGGTCCACAAATAAAAAATCTAAATACATGGTTAGATTCAGCATATCAAAGAACCCCATATATTCAATTTTTGTTGAAATCAAACAAAGTTTAATTTTGGACCCCAATTTGGACCAACTTGAAAACTGGGCCAAAAATCAAAAAAACTAAATACATGTTTAGATTCAGCATATCAAAGAACCTCATATATTCAATTTTTGCTAAAATCAAACAAAGTTTAATTTTGGACCCTTTGGACATTAATGTAGACCAATTTGAAAACTGGACCCAAAATTAAAAATCTAAATACACTGTTAGATTCGGCATAACAAATAAATAAATGTGATCAAAGATTTTACAAATCTAATGCGCCATACTGTGCAATTAAAGATTACTTCTTGAAATTTTTCAATATTTGAAATTTGAAAAAAAAATAATATTTGAAGAATAATTCTTTTTAATTTCTGAAATCTGAAATCTGAAATGAGAAAAAATTGGCCCCCCACAATTTCTTTTTATCCCCCCCCCCTTTTTCCCCCAAAAAAATTCTTTCCCTCAAGATATGGTCATAATCTCAATTCAAATTTCCAATGGAGTTGGCAACCATAATTACCCATTTAAATTTACCATAGTGCTAACTTAATCTATTTTATAATAGAATTAATAAAAATATAGTGTCAAATCTTTCATATGGATTTTTTTGTAAAAAAAAAAGATGAAAACATTTGCAGATATTTTTACTGGTCTTCCTTTATAAATATGCATTTCTTTAAACATAGTAAGGGAAGTAACCAAAATGTTGTATTTGGATTACCTCCCTTACACTGTTTTAGATTATCTTTATTGTTCATTAACCATTACTTTATACATAATTTAAAAGCAGTGTAAGGGAGATAATTTCAATGATGTATTTGATTTATCTCCCTTACACTGCTTTAAATTATGTTTTGTACTAAAGTATTTGTCCATTAACCAGGACAACCTTGTTTTCCCCCCTTTTTTGCCCCTAATTCCTAAACGGTTTGAGCCATAACCCCCCAAAGCAAATCCTAACCATCCCTTTGTGGTATGGAAACTTGTAGTATAATTTCAGAGAGATCCATACACCGTTCCACAGTTATTGTCTGGAAACTAGAAAATGCTCATTTTTGGCCACTTTTTGGCCCCTCATTCCTTAACTGTTGGTACCATAACCCCCAAAATCAATCCCAACCTTCCTTTTGTGGTATTTAACCTTATGGTCAAATTTCAAAAAGATCCATTCACTTAAACTAAAGTTAGAGTGCGAAAACCAATATGTATTCGGACGACGACGACGACGCCAACGTCATACCAATATACGACCACAAAATTTTTTTGCGGTCGTATAACAATAAGATCAGAGGATCCATTCTGTAAACTATAAATTTCAATAACTCTCTCCAAAGAAAATAAACAAAATCAACTAACACCAATAAGTCTCAAATGTTTTCATAAAGACAGCTTCCAACCTTTATAACTTACACGATTTAATTTTATGGAAAAATAAAAAGACCTAAGAATATTATTAGAACTATAAACAATCATTATCACAATTTTAACCAACAAGAAATAATTCTGAGCAGTATCTTATTTTATGTCAAAACAAATACTGCTGGTATCAGCATGTAATTGCCAAGACATAAATGTCTTATCTTGGATGTCTAGAAACAATTTTCCCTCTCTGGCCATATATCATATATCACTCTCCTTTCATCAACTTGCGATATTAACTTCCGATATTTCATCTCTTGTATTTCACTGATAACATTGTTATGTAACAACTTTTTATATCAATGGCCACATAAAAGATATCGATTTTGTGTCGGTTCCACCTCAAATATTTCATTTTGTTGGTTAATTGCTTCCGTTAATTAATAAAAGATTTATCAAAGCATGTTTCGAAAACTTGACTGAATTCCGTTTAATTTTTAATGGTTTCTTGCATTCATTTAAATTGACAATCGGTTGCTGCACCATGCATCATGGATAGAAATCAAAATTTGCAAGTGGTAATGCATCTGTCATGGTGTGTTATTTGTGTTAGTGTTATTTTGGATAAAAAATATGTTTTATCTTTTAGAAAGAAAATTTTAAGTTTGTATTTTGTAAAATTTTTAATTAATTTGTTTAATTAATTTTACCTATGTAGTGGCATTAGTACTTGAAATGTCACAGTTTGCTCAAAGCACTTGTTTGATTTGAAATATTAATTGTAATTAGCATATGTCACTTTAAGTTTAAGATTTTATCAAAACATTATAGGATTAGGCTTTGTTAATTAAAGTCTATTTTTGCTGATGAGAGTAATATTAACATGTCGAGGCATATTTATTTATTTTTGGATTTAGTATAAATAGCGTTGTGAAATTTTGTAAAAGCAGTCAGTGTTTCGGAAGCGTAACCTCTCACTACTCACGTCATGATACTGGACCTATAAGACTGTCTACCAGTCTACCAGTTGACGGTGTAGTGTTGAGACAAAATTTATCTCTGACTCATAATTTAACTTTGAAAAATACTTTTGGGAATCTTTTATTTTTGAGACTTTTACATTTGATTTTGAGATTAAGTTCATTTTATGATTTAGTAGTTTTGGCATTTATTTTACATTTTACATTGTAAGGAGAAATAGTTTTACTTTGGAGTTGATATTTAGATTTGATACTTTGTACTTTAATTAGATTATTATTATTTGGCATTGTTTACTGATTGATTTGTTATCATCATTCATCAAAATTGTTATCGTTAATGAAATTATGAAAACCTTCCTTGCGTTTTAGCTATGCCTATCAGAACATTAAGTCTAGTGATAGACTGACCCCCTGTCCCTTGGTTCCAGCACATACGAGTTAGCTCCCCCTTATCTAACAGTGCTCTGGAGTGGACCTTGGTGACACATCCAATTTTTTGGTGGTCCAGTACTGTATATATGATGAAGAAAAATATGGAAAAATAGTTGCCCAGCTCAAATTTTAGAGGCCATGAGCTTTCGAGATACTACACAATTTCATCACTGTGTATGCATATATGCATTAAGCCATAGAAAACTATTTAGTACTTACAAAACTAGCTTATTCACAACTAACAATTGGTTTTTTGCGCCAGGTATGCAGACATAGACAAGAACAACAAGGTCAAAAATCAGAAGGAACAGAAAGTAGGAAAGGCCTGATACCCTGTATCTAACCAGCAGTAAATGTATATATTGTATGGTTCCCTCAAGTGACCAAGGGAGATAACTCAAACCCAAATTTCCTCAATGAAATCTGTATAGTTTCCTGGAACCCTGCATAATTTTATTATTTATGGCTATTATGAATTAAGCATTTTTTCAAAGTTTGTCAATTTTAGTGTCCATGTGTTAATTCTTTTACATTCCTGAATGTGATTCTCTTAAAATATCAACCCCCCTAGGCCTCTACAAAAGGGATGAGTTTATTCCCTAGCTGGGTCAAATTAAAGACTTGCAAAATGGTACACTAAAGCACACAGCATTAAAGACTGTCTGTCAGAGTAAGAATAATATGATATAAACATGTTCTAATCCAGATATGCATGTGATATTTGCCCCTGGACTTTGAACCCCAATCCATCATCATCGTCATCAAAATCTATAAATATCCATAAAAAAAAAAACGATGTAAAAATCAACACATGCTTGTCAATTAAATCCAGCTTGTGTTTTTATTCTTTGATATCACTAATGTATTATACCTGATGAACCTGGTTATGTTATCTGATTTAATGAACTACGATAGAAGTCTACTGTTCACAGGACTACCTGAAATATTACATAATCTACAAGGCTGATTGTTAATACAACACAAACTGGAGTCCATTGATTCTGGTATGTAAAGATCGTTCTAAACCGCCAGGATTCTTGGCAAATAATGGTGTAGTAGACAGAACCACATCTGTTGTTCTAATAGCTCAATACAATTTAGAAAATTATAAACTTGAAATTGAATGAACTTACTAAGCCCCTCCCCCCTTTTTCTTAGTTAGATTCCTATTTTAACCAGTAACAACTAAATTAAATGGAAACCTGTCCAACAACAGATCTTTAGCAATTAATGACTAACAGTAATGATGACAAAAAAGGCACATATTAAAAGAAGCAATGAAACAAAAGTAGTTCATAGTGACCCAGTGTTGTTGAACAGCATTATATGTACAATAGACGAGTGTATTTGTGTAAGCCCAAAATAAATAAAAAACATCTCTGGTAAGGATTTCTGCACCGTCAATATTTTTTTTAATATGTCTCAAAATGCATAACTTAAAAATTTCAATGGTACTTTTGATAGTCAATCATGACAAAATTGCAGGTGTCCTTTATACCCAAGGTGAAAAATAGCTAAATAAATAGGAATTCCTATCTTCCTACACTATTTTTCTTAAGGAGAAAACCCTTAACAAAAACACTATCAAATATTTCACAATATGAAAAGAACACTCTAGCAATAAAATATTAGATATAATAGAAAAATGGACCTTAAAGTCAAATTTAACAGGTCACTTTTACATTTAATGAAATGTAGGTCACAGTGATCATAATACTGATAGCAGCCATGTTCAACTTATTATGTAAGAGAACCATAGTAATCTGTTGATTTTTTTTTTATATTACCAACAAATATACAAACACACACACACACAAATAGGAATAAACAGACATTTAGATAGCCAAGGTTACATTTATTTTTACCCATTGCAATAGAGAAAACATAATCTACATTTTCTTAGATTTTTAAGAAAAAACAAAAGGATGTATAAAACAATATTTTTTCCACTTCAGCAATCAAGCAAGCATAATTTACTCACTGGTCAGTCTTGTGTGATCTTGACTGTGGCATTGCCATGATTACAGATCAATCGATAATGTGATTTTTTTTCTTCAGTTCTAATAAATTTTACAATCATTGCTCAAATTTTTCATCAAACTGACTTGTTAATATATCATTAGAGTAATGTATTGTTGAGGATACCACATTAATTTTTCAATGATCTTTGTGTCAACTAGGGGCATTTCAAGCATGAGTGAAAGTGGAAAAATTCAGGTCAATACAGTGAAATCTGTCTACAACGAACCTGACATTTAAAGGGGAAACCTGTGAAAACTGCTTTTATTTCTAGAAAACCTAACACCTGTATGTTCAGAAAAATATTTTCAAACCAAAAGGGGATCGGTATTCACAAATTTCAAATATGAATATTTTCAAGGGTAAGATTACCAGGGGCCTAGTATCCCAGGCTACTTAATTTTTAGCTGGGCCACTAAATTTTAGCTAAAATGTTGTTTGCTTGTGTTAATCTTTCGTATGATGACAGGTTGGGTCCCTTCGACTCCCTTGATGGAAAATGTTTTTCCCAGATCTTTTATACTAACCTTCATCATCATCCCCAATTATAATGTCTTCTTCGTTAATTTCCTCTAATGATAAGTAAAAATCATCGGACATGTCAATATCTACTGTGTCTAATATCTTTCATGTAAATTCCTTTTGAAAAATAGAATTTAGCACACACAATAGAAACTATCACATCCAAGTTTTAACCTGGCCTTATTTTTTTCATTTTTCTATCACTTCCAATTGAATTTGTTCTCAAAATTCCTTTTTTCTTGTAATTAAGAATAAAATACCATAGATCTAAGATAAGCATGTGTTTCCATAAAATACTAGATGACAATTAACTAGAACTACAAAAGCAATAAATCTCCAGTTATCTTGAAGCTTGTGTTAACACAGAAGGCACATATGATTTCTTTTAACAATAAACATCAAATTTATCTTGAAATATCAGCGAAATATTATCCACATTTGCCTTTTTTTTTCTAACTTCCTGTGAGAAAAACAAAACTAGACATCTACAGAATTTCCAACATCCAGTGTGTGAAAAAAATATCCAAACTCCATTAGATTTTAGTTAAAGCATCTGGCACCAAACAAAATCACAAACATTTTCCAATAATAACTTCATCATCTATATTTCTAGTGTAGTGAAAGTAAAAGCGTGTTTGATCTGAGCATCTAAATTGGTGAGATTTTGTGAGATATGACATATGAAACACACACACCCACTCAAAGACATATGGTTTATCCCACATCAAAGTTCAGACTATTCCATTATTATAACAAAGGTGAGGGTAATCAATATCTGCTTCTGAGTCAAAGACTTACACAGTCAATGATGTAATTAACAAGCCCTTTCATCTTTAAAACCAATACACAATTTCCCCACTGTTCCAATCAGACAAAAAATCAATGGATCTCAATGTAAATAAACAAATGATTCATCTCTAAGAGTACAAGGATTGTAATGAAATATGTGCCAAATCTTCATTCAAAATCAGTAAATGGGTAAATCCCTCTTGAACATCTTCAAAATATTTCTCTGTTCATTGAAATATTTATATTGTAATGCCTACGGCTAGACAGAATTTAATTTCACTGTAATTGGTAATAAATCCAAAAGGTCAAATCTATTGAAGCTGTATATAATGATGACAAATATTTTCCGGATAATTCATTAATGTTTGGCAAAAATGCCTTTACCTAATCCCTGCATTGTACGCTAGCCATATCATCCCTATTCAACAAAAAAATGGCTAATCTTTAACATAGTACAATGTCTCCTACCGTTAACATCATCATTTGTTATAAAACTCACTAAATGACTTCGAAAAATCAATTTAAATCCTCAAAATTATGTGAAACATACTGGTACTATCTCTTTCATGTTAACGACCAATTATCCTTAATTTATATGCACACTTAACCTACAGCAGTTTAAATAGGGATAATAAAAACGTAAGGTTTGTTATTTCATCAGATGAACATCCCAGTCAAAATAAAGTCAACCAAAAGGTATGCACATGTATTGTTCAAAACTTAATATCCTGTAATTTAATATCAAATATAAATCACATATACGGATCAAGAAAACACATTTGCCCAGCAGTCTTTTATAACAAGAACATGACTATTATAATTTGCATAACTGATGTGTATTGCTAATGCACATGCTATAATCTACAGAACGTCAATACTCGGTCTCTGGTGGAGAGTTGTCTCATCGGCAATCATACCACCACTTCTTATTTTTATATTGGATTAATTTTGTTCTCTTTTACTTAAAATAAATGCAGTATCCTTTTTATGCAAATAAAAGAGTTCATTTTCATTTAAAACACAAAATTTTCTTAATTTGAATCTTAATGTAAATCTCAGTATTGATATTTCAATTGATTTAAAAAATTTCTATAATAATCTCTTCCGCTGATGAATTATTTTTGTTTGATCATGCTGTAATTTCACATCCTCCGTTCTAATGTCTTTGATTTTAAGAAATAAATGCAGTTGAATCTGTTCATTCTTTGTGAATTAAATTGTGTTGAATTCTATAATTACATTAAGCAAAGATTAAATCAATAATATTGTTATGGTATTTCCATTTCTTTTAATATAAATTAAGCATACTAAGTGACAAAAGTAATACCTTATCACAACCAAGATTGCTAATAATTAATATTCCCACCCATGTAAAGGGGGGATTGGTATGACCCCCTCATAAAAAACATAAAACACTAATAAAGCCACAATGTTTAGGTCAATATTTTGCACTTCTAGGGGCCTGGAGCAGTCCCAAGACCTCACCCTAATTATAGCAGGTATCCCCCAAAATTGATAATAGTATGTTGCCTGAAGTTTAAAAACCTGAATAGCTATAAAAACCGACATACAATTTGCCCATTCTTTTTAATTCATGGGGAGATGACATAAGGGATGACATCAAAAGTTCAATGTAGGATAAAAAACTTAATTCACTTAGCTTTTTCACTGACCCCCCACCCCCCTCTTAACTTAATTTGGGAAAAAATGATTGACCAATATGGATATATGTAAAATCGATTTTGGATAAACAAAACTTGCAGCAATTTTAACCCCCCCCCCCCCCCCCCCCCCACCACCACCACCACCACCCCCAAACTATTGATTTAAGTGTTTTATCCTACATTGATCTTTTGATGTCATCCCTAACAAAACAATAACATTGATTGTTTGATTTTTTTTCATTTGTTCCACTGAATTTTGCAAACTGTACCTGCCAAGCATTTTTTAAGGAACCAAATCTAAGGCTCTACATTTGTCACTGTGTGAAATACAATCAGTTCCCCTACAATGTAATCAAATTCTGATAGTTAGGGATGGTTTTGTCAAAACTGATATGAATTTATATCCAAAGTTCAATTTTCTTTCTTCAACCAAACAAATCAATGACCAATCACACTTCAGACTCTAATTCTATTTATTTATCTCAATATTCTGACAACTCAAGGTTGGCGCCATTTATCAATCACTTTTTATCAGGAAAATTGAACAGATAGAATGCAAGGATTTTTTTCTTATTTCTCAGTAACAACAGTTAAACTCAACAGCTCTCTCCCAGCAATGGTCAATACTTGTGAATCGAGAATAATCTATAGACAAACAAACTGCAGTAGCTGCTGTCTCCATTGCAGATGTTCACAATCCTTGGTAGTTTGGAAAAGTATTCATTTGTTTTTCGTAAATTGTTTTGTTATAAATTCTGAATTGAATTGTTTCATATTTTTCTTGTCAGGGCCTTTAATAGCTGACTATACGGTATGGGTTTTCTTTCGTGAAATTGGGATCAAAACTCTAATTTGGCATTAAAATTAGAAAGATCATATATATCATAGGGAACATGTGTACTAAGTTTCAAGTTGATTGGACTTCAACTTCATCAAAAACTACCTTGACCAAAAACTTTAACCTGAAGCAGGGGACTGACGGACGAATGGACATACAGATGCACAGACCAGAAAACATAATGTCCCTCCTACTATCGTAGGTGGGGCATAAAAAAATGTTAATCTACCCAATGTTTCCCTGCCTAAAGAGGCAGGAAACAAGTATATATTTTATATGGCCTCAGCATACCCATAAAAAGAAAACAGAGATCGGTAGGATTTCAGTCTTACAACAGCCATCAAAACTAATATAAACAAAAGAATATGTGGGATTCTGTACACTAATTTATTTTTGTTGATGTATGATTTCATACAAGGGAAGATGGAAATAGTCTTCATGTTTTTTATTCCTCTTTATTTTTCTACTCATAAAAGAGCCAAAAATGAGTTTCTATACACGATATGTCAATGAGACAGCAACCAAGCAGCAATTAAAACTAGACATCTTCGTACTATGAACATCAAAATTATTTATTTTGTAAAAATATTTCCTTTCTCCATTTGAACTGTACACGTATACCTAAAAACAAAATTATTTTCATTTACCTGTGTTTAAAGTAATTGCAAATGGCTGATATTATTGTTCAAGCATATTGTTTTTCTTAAATTGTTTAACATTTCACAGTGGTATAACATGTTACTTTACTGTAAATGCAGTAATTATTGCGTGCATTTATTATTTCGATTTTGTCATTTTAGACTTAAATGCGATTTTAATTTTTGGGATATTGAGAAAAATCCTGTTTAATTCATATACAAAATTTCAAAATGCGAGTTTAAATGATTGCGATTATAACCTTGTCGCATTTTTTTGCAATAATTTCTGAATTTACAGTAATTATTCTTCCCTTAGTTTATTTATTTTGTATTTGCATTGTATCATATATCAAATTTATTTGTTCAGTGTATGTTCACTGGTGTTAATATGTCTTTTGATTGAGTTAAGCCATTTCAATTGATATTTTATAGTGTGTCTTTCTATGTTGTGATGTTACACTAATGTTTCAGATAAGGGTGAAGGTTTGGTACCATTAAAACGTTTAAACCCACTGCAATTGTTTGCACCTGTCCTAAGTCAGGAATCTGATGTTCAGTAGTTGTCGTTTGTTGATGTGGTTCATAAGCGTTTCTCGTTTTTTATATAGATTAGACCGTTGGTTTTCCCGTTCGAATGGTTTAACACTAGTAATTTTTGGGGCCTTTTATAGCTTGCTGTTCGGTGTGAGCCAAGGCTCCGTGTTGAAGACCGTACTTTGACCTATAATGGTTTACTTTTATAAATTTTTACTTGGATGGAGAGTTGTCTCATTGGCACTCATACCACATCTTCTTATATCTAATCATTGAGATGGGAGCCATCTCTGTGGGCCCAGCTGACCTTGAACTTTGACCTAGGAAGTTGTACAAACATTATGATATACCCTCTGGTGTTGGTTAATATACATGTCAAGTGTAAAGTATGAAATTATAAAGCTTCTCTAGATATAGAGCTGACACAATTTGTTACGGACGGACAGACTGATCACTATAGGGCGACCCGCCACTAGGCAGGCCCTAATTAAAAGATATTTAGATATCAACAGCAATAGACATGATCTATACATTTAACCTTTAAATCTCCGTGGGTCAGCATTTCTTTGTTATTAATATGGTTTAGTACTGGACACATGAATTGGCAATATAATACAGGACACATGCACATATGTTACTGCTTTACCAAGAAAAATCTCTGTGGACATCATAATCTAAGTGTAAAAATCTTTTGCAAGTCCTTTAATTGTAAATATGCTACCTGACCTGATGTTGTTACTTCTTTCCACATAAACTGAAGCAATCATGATCAATATCTATCGATATTTTCAATGGAAACATCAATGACACTCAAGAAAAAAAGCCTAGAGCAGATTAATAGTAAATACCACAATAAATAACCACAAAATATTGTCATATGATAATGTTATAACCCTGGTAGGAAATAAGACAGTCAGATACCATGAGTTATGGTGATTATGATGAAACAATCAACAGTTAATAATTAACCCCAGACTTAGTGAGGTCATACTAAGCCAAGGATAATAGGGTTTCTCTTGAACCAAAATATCAACCCTGTCAGGGACAAATGTCTGGACAGATGTCTGGACAGATTCTGTATTGTTCTTGACAAAAAATGAAGTACAAGCAAGGGCGGCACTTGTGGGATACCTCCATTAAATAGTTTTCATGTTACAAAATGACCTTATTGGATTGAAAAATCTCAGGTCATGTGAGACCTGCAAAAATCTGGTAATTTAAGTATATGATTATTCTACATGAACAAAACTACCTACAACAGATCTGCCAACTTTCCTGATTGATCAGTGATATCCCTCATGAGAGCCAAGAAGTACCAAGTAAGGGTTATATATATTTCTACATTCAAATA